CCTCGCCGGCGGAGCTGCGCGGCGTATAGCTGCGGGAGGACGCGCCTGATCCCGGAACGGTGCCGCCGGTGTTGACGTTCAGGTTCGGCTCCTTGCCCAGCAGCACATCCTTCTTCCATCCCGTCAGGATGCTGAATTCCTTGCCAACTGCTGCAATCTCCCCCGTCCGACGGCAGACGATAGTCGGGGTGCCACACGCGTTGATGAAGTCCTCGTACTCAAAAAGTGTGCGCTGGAAGCACTTCTCCATGAAGATAAGATCGTCGCGGTTCAAGGTTTTAGTCGTAGCAATAAAGGAGGGTCGGATCGAGGCCAGTGCCTTGGCGATCTGCAGGGTTTTTTGCGGGGGGAAGCGCCGCTGGATGAAGGCGGTCAAATTGTGGAAGCGATTCGTGTAGGCATACGGCTCCTTGACATTCTCGTAGATGGACGACGGGTTGCGCTGACGTCGTTTGGTGCCCACCTGGAGGCTCTGGTGCTTCAGGCTCGGCGTTGTAATCGTCGGACGCTGTCCATTCGGGACGAGACCGTTGGAATTGTTCGCAACGGCGGCGTGGAATGTCGCCTCGTCGAAGCCGGTCGTCATGTGAGGACTAGTCGTCGCGCTGGGGCTGGCGAAATTTGCCGGGGGGCCGCTTTCGATGGCGAACGCATGGGGCGCGTCGGCTTTGGACAGATGCCCGGGGATCACGCTCCCCTGGCCAGAATGGGGGTAAACGCCACCCACATTCATGTGCGGCTGACCCGAGGACTGGCCATTGGACCACTCGTTGAGCAGGGGATCACCAAACATGAACGGCTGCTGGCCCCCGGGGCTGTCCCCGAAGGCGGCCGTACCGGTAATCGGCGTATTTGAGAACTGGGCCGATCCGCTGCGTCCCATCGACCCTCGCTGCGTGGCGGAGTCGCTGGGCGAATCTCCGGCACCCGTCGCCATGTGTCCAAGCATCCCAAATTCCAGCGCACCGTACCGATTTTCGAAGTTCATGCTCGACAGGTCAAAGTTGAACAGAGCCGGGTCACTGGGATCGAAGAACGGTCCGGCCAGCGGGTTCTGGTTCTGGGTGGCCGCCCCCGAAACGGTTGCGCTGGGCGGTTGCTGACCCCCGGTAGACGACAGACTGTTGTTTCGGGCAGTCGGCGTGGTCTTCAAGTTGAAAGTCGGAGACATGGGAGATTGCGAGGTGAAGGAGTTCTGATTAAGAGTGTTCTCTTGGTAGACGTTATATGAGCTGGATTGGGGCGTGGGATAGAAGCTTGGGGCCGAGTTCTGCGGTGTGTTTGCATTGACGGCATTGGCGCCGTTTCTCGACAAGGGAAGGCTGTTGCGCATCGTATTGCCGTAGAAGTTACCTCCGATTCCAGGCATCAAGGCTCCGTCGGGCGCGTCGTGCAAATATTTGGCCTTCTTGCGAACGCCGTCGTGGCAGGCATCCTGGAGGCCTCGTTTGATACACCGCTGACATGGTCTCTCATCGCCTAATCGCAAAGCTTTGAATTAGTCTCCGGTCTTCACCGCTCCACCGGGCGTCCCAAAAGCGCAGGCAAGAGAACGCCTTCTGATGTCCTAAGGCATCTATAGGTACGGGAAAGATGGTACAACAAGGGAGTTTAAAACAGGGGCAGGCATAGCGTACCGCAAGTCAGATGCGCCCGCTGGCAAGCAAAGCAAGCCCGTCGGGCCTTCTTCCGCCGCGGACGCGACGGGTCTTTCGCGTTGGTGAATTTCTGGCCATTCTCCACTGGCGTGTTATCGCCGCCATTAGTCGTGCTCTTGGGGTGCTCCGAGGGCTCTCGAAGATCCTCAACACCCTGCACAGACCCGCCGGGATCGGCAGAAGCCGAGGAGCTATTATCCTGATGTTCGGCCTTCATCTCGACATGAAAGTCCGCAGGCGACAGACGCGACCGGTCCGAGTGAAAGCGTTGCGCCGTATGAGTGAGCGATGGCGGAGCGGGCGGGAGGAGGGGGATGATCGGAAACGGTGCCGGCTCTTTTGTGGTTGAGAGGGAGTCGCAGCAATGGGACCGCCTTGCCACCTATTCTTCTCGCGCTGTACAAGACCACTTCGGCGCGGCGCGTAAGGAGTACACGGGTTGCAGTCCAGTTTGACGAGTCAAATCGGAGACTGTCACGCGTCTAGTCGGGCAGTAACAGCAAATTGGCCGTTCTTTCACGGACCGAGGGCATAGAAACCAGGATCGAGGCGGGTCGGAAAACAGGTCGAAGGAAATGGAGCGAACGGCGGAACCGGTCGCAAAAAGTGGAGGAGGGACCTTGCGTGCTCAGTCTGACAGTCAGGCTGCTTTCAGCTCGCAGCTCTCAGCTTCAAAGATGACAGTTGGAGTTGGAATGTTGACCGAATTTCCATGCAGGAATCCGCGATTTTTTCTTTTTTCTTTTTTTTCTTTTTTATTCTTCCTTTCCCCTGTCGATGATTTGAAATTAGAAAAAAAGGGGAAACAGAAAGGCAAAGAAGAAAAAAGTTTCAAAATTCACTATTCAGAATTCCAGACCAGTACACGGTATTAGTCACACGGCATGTAGGAAATTTCCCTCGGCGTTCCTTTTGTCCCTTTTTATCATGAGTCAAATCAATTGTCGCAGCGCAAGACAAGGTAAGTGGAGCGAGCAACAAAAAAAGACTGGGACTGGGACTGCGGGGAAATTCCAGCAGGAGAGATCGATCGAGAGGGGAAGAAAGAAGGGGAAGAGGCTCGGGCAAATATAAAGGCGAAGGAAGATGAGAGATTTTCTCGAAGAGGGGGGAGGGGAGATTGGAGGAGAGAGCGCGAACGCGGGGGAGACAAATGAGCGATCAATGAATAATAAGAACTGCCTGCAATTGCAATGATCCCGGTCTGTCGAGCGCAAGAAAAAGAAAAGAAAGAAAAAAAAAAAAAAAAAGGAACAGAGAAAAAGGAGCGAGACCAACACGAGTCAAGAGTCGCGTGTCCAACGACCGCAAGCAGAGGGAGGAGTGGTCACCGCGAAAGGGTTGGCATTATCAACATTGGCCTGATCTCGTCGCCTAATATGAGGGCTTTTTTCTCTCTCTCTTGCTTTTTTATGGGGTTTATTATTATTTAAAATTTCGATTATGAAAGAAGAAACGGTCTGGAGGGGGGAAAGAGCCACGCGAGAAACGGCAGCCTTACGGGAGTTGGCAATTTCCCGGTTCTTCAGTATAGCTGTAGTATACCTATATGTCTATCTATGTATGGATCAGACAGGGACTGTTCACATGCCGATGCCTGTGATAATCCCAGAATCGAGACAGTCCCTCTCCGCCCATGCATTCTCATTGATGTAATAATATTAAATCTGTCTTTAAAAATAAAGTAAGAGAATGAGCCATTTTTGTTCCTCACTGTCGGGTGGCCTCGGGATGCTGACTCATGCCTTCCACCCGAAGTCACCCGAGGATCTTGTGCCAGAGAGTGCCTCGGTCCACTCCTGCCAGGCATCATCTCTGTCCATCTCGACGCCATCCCAGCTTCATCCCGAGGCTGTCTTCCCTGGTTCGTGTTTCTACACATATGGCTGGCCGCGAGCATGGCCGTGCATCGCATCGTCCCCGTCGCAAGGGCTTGAAGCATGGATCTAGACGACGGATGCCTCGCCTGCTCCGTCGGCTGGCCGTCAGCTGTACACGCGGCAATTGCGGTCTGATGAATCGACCGCTGTCGAACGCCGTCGTGCATGGGAGACGTCCAGCTCTGCATTGGGTGCTATTTTTGTCTGGCTTAGCTACCTCGTAGTGTGTACTTGACACTATGTGCATTATATATCAATGTACTCCGTATATACTCCGTATATCCCTATTTAAGGAGTCTCCAGTCACTGTCCTTCTTTGATAATGCGCTGCAAGCCGCAGAAACATAAACGAGAACCATCATCAGACATCTTGGAAAATCAAAACGAGCATCGCCTCCTCGTAACCCATGTGGAGATGTCACCCTGGTTCAAAGCGGAGAAATAGACAAATCTACCGCGTCGCAAATCGACTCTTCTTGCGAATTCGACTGCCGTACTTGAAAAAGATATACCTATTCCCCAATGATCGCTGTTAGCCAAACCTTGGAAAGCATGCTACGCGTGTCCCACAGGCCGTTCCTCAAATCCAGTGCAACCGGGGGGCGCAATCGAGGTCGAAAGACGTCAAAGGCTCCCATCTATTAGGGCCGCAGGATTTCTACGCAGGAGACTGCCTGTCCTCGCTCGCGCCCAACCAAAAGAAAAGAGGGTGGGATCCTTATACGCGTAATGAAACCAAAGGACTTACGGAAAGGGTGTCATGGCCAGGGTCAGAAAGGCCAACAATGAAGTTGCCCAGTGGTATCCCAATCGGTTATACACTGCATGCGGTGGTTAGCAATTGGCGGTCAAGGTCTCGTGTGTTAAATCATATTGACATGTCAAGTTTCGATCCACCCAGTCTTCCGAATAGAAATCCAACAGAAAGAATTGTTGATCGAAGGGACAAAAATAACCTCTCCAACAACTCTGAACTCGACAGATCAGGGCACACTTATCCACTCTCCATGCCATGCAGGCAATTTAGACCAGAAAGAGGAAAGGAGGCTGCTTTCTTACTTTGAATCCCAAACAAAGGAAATATCCCACCAAACAGCGACCGGGCAAAACTGTTTGCTGCAAGAGCACTTGCAGCAAATGTCGGGTATGCGTCAACCAAAAAGGTGAAAATGCCCGAGTATACAAGGATCGTGCTAGATATTGTCGAGGAATGGAATCAGTACACATCATTACCAATCATCTCCTTCCAACAGGCGCAATCTCATGCGGGCTGAAAACCGATAGCCAAAAGAATGGGCGAACACCGGCCTTGTTGGAAACTTACCCGGCTCCAAAAAATGCACTCCCGATGATGGGTACAATCCAATGCACGTGAGGATAAATGCTCCAAGCAAAAATAAATAGTCCTATAGTCACAAGAGGTCCGCCAAGGATTGCTTTTCATCACAAGTTAGCATCATCATCATCGTTCTCTAGGCGCCAATGCCAATGACAGATCAACAAACGCACCTGGGGGAAGCCGCCACTCTGGCTGAAAGTCATCGGCCTTTCCAACCGCCCTCTCATGCTTCTTCTCCAGGCGCTGATAAATACGCCGCCAAAACGGGTCGGACAAGATAGCAAAGAGCATTCCCACAAATAGACCAAGAAAACAGAGGCCACGCTGCCATAATACAAAGCCGTACACGTTTCCAAATACCAACTGAAAGGCGCCGAAAAAGAGATATAGTATGCCCAAAAGGATGGCGGAAAATATACAAAGATTCAAGCACATGGGCTCTAATGTAAGAAGTAGCATGGGCCGATAGGTGGACCGCAGAACCGTCTGGGGCACTGAGCGATTAAGCCTTTCGATTGGAGCCTTCCAGCGGTCGTCTTCCGTTTCCTTGCGTATTTGGCGCGCCTTGCGTCTCAAAAGTCTGCCCACTCTCTATCAGTAGCTACTCAAAGCATCCAAGGAATCTTGGGACTGCTGCCAACGGCATACACTTACACAGGATGGTAGGTTTCGGGGACAAGAACAATGATTGAGATGAGTAATATACCTGTCCAAATGAGAAGCACGTAAAATGTCCAGCGCCTAAGAGCCGGAGTCAGCAATGTAAAACTTCTGTGTCCTAGAAAGAGGGTCTCCAGAATTGACGTACCACGTGGTATATTGGTTTATAAATCCACCCACCCTGAGATGATCAATCGTCAGCAGCCTGAAAACACTCCGCACTACAAGACGGCTCATCGGCGGCAACTCGGGGGGAAACCTACAATGGTCCAACCTCGGGGCCAACGAAAGGCGAGGCCGTATATAGCATCATCGGTGCACTAAGCTCGTGACGGGCGAAGAGATCGCCCACTGTACCGCCGGCGACACTAAGGAATGCGCTTCCTGCAATGCCGTTGAAGAACCGACATACAATCATCGTCTCGATGTTTTGAGCCACGGCACATGGAATCAGCCAAATCAGGAAGAAAGTAAATGATATAATATAGATATATCTTCTGCCGTAAAACTACCCTGTGTTAGCAGCACCAATCGAATTCAACAGGGATACACCCACCTCTGACAAGGGCCCAAGGAACAGGGGGCCAACCGCTTCATCGAGGTCTTGTTAGTAAGTTGCAGCCACAAAACGACGAACGTTTAGAGCTTACCCAAGCCAAATATGAAGAATGATAGTCCTAACGTCGCGACCAACCGAGAACAATTGAATTCTTCCGTTATTTGGTCATAGGTGACAGTATACATCGAGGAAGTGCAGGTTCTTTCCAGACAGAAGATCAGCCCGGAGATTAGCTGCCAAGCTAGTTGAATTGAACTCACACGCATAATGAACCCAGCGAGCAAATGATGACGATTATCCACCGTCGAAAGGTGCTAAAATTGCGAGGGTTCACGGGATCGTTATCGTCCCATCCAACAACAAAAGCCGAGGACTCATCAGCATTTTCACCCTGCACTTCGTCCGGAACCTTCTGCCCTGCCTCTTCGTCGGCAGTATGACAGCTATAACCGTCATTGAGAGACCAGCTGCGCTCAACAGGCCGGGATGAAGTTGAATGAAGTCTCTGCATCCGCGCATCACTTGCAGAGGTCACGGCATTGATTGGCGCATAGGTACTGACATCATCCGATTGTTCCTGGTCGGAAATGCCTGCATCGCTTCTTTCGTCGTCGGTTGATCGCCCGGGCGGATCGATCTCGGCGTTAGCAGCTTGTCGGGAAGTCATGTTCTCCGGCTGCGCTGCAGACATGGTTGGTTCAATTGTACTCAAAGACCGGTTCCCCAGGAAAACGAAAAGAAAAGAGGATCAAAGTACGTTCGGGAGGTCGAGCTTAATAGCAAAAGGGATAATATCACTCGTCCGCGAATACCAAACCCCACCGGATGACACACTGTCGGGAAATGTTGCTAGTTGTGTCGTCTAGGGGAGGGAAAAGTTGCCTGTAAAGCAAACTAATTTTTTTTTCTTAAGTCACAGCGACGGCGTAAGGACTGAGGGAGTCTGAAGCTAACTGGTCAGATTAGTTGACCCATCTCGCTGATCATAGGGAGTACTTGACTACTTGCGCGTTAGTATCCATGGATATGATCCTTAGCCTCGGGGTTATCGGCGTCGGGTCTAGAGCTGGGTCCATGACTAAGTGATGTCCATGCTTTTTATGTGGGCCATTGATAGTTCATATTCACAATCGTAGGTACGAGTACACATAAGAGAGCAGTCGACATGATCAGATATGAAGAGTAGGGGGTACTAGGAGGTACTAGGAGGTAAAGGAACGGGCGGGAATCGGAGAATTAAGCCGGGCCACGTGCATCGACTACGGGGATCAAGGATGTCATTGGAATCAGTGACTCGCTTCTATAATACTACTAAGGTAAAAGCTACCTAATCATCCAGAACCAATTCGCCCCGGAAATCCAACAATCCTGGACATCGCAAGAATCAAATCCAGAACCACCTTTTCTCCTTGAAACTGACTCCTAAAACTCCACCAATTCATTAAGCAAACAGGGCCAGCATCCAAATACAAAGGGGGTCTTCACAGAGTAGAACTAAGCCAGTCACAAGAAAATGAAAGAGAAAATCAAACGAAAAAAGGGGAAAAGAAAGGCCGAAGAAGGTTGGGCAAGGTCAAACAGCCAAAAAGAAAAGAACAAGAAAACCGCGACCAACTGTACAGAACGAAAGACATCATCTAAGCGGTTGCCGGAGCAGATTGGCTGGCAGACTCGCCGCCGGCAGACTCCTCGGCCCACGAGCCCCAGAGAGCACGCTTTCCACGGATTTTGAGCGGTCCTCCAACGGCATCAGATCGCTGTTCGACCTGAACGGCATCCTTGGTAGCCAGCACTAGAACTTCGAAAAACATCTTGGTAGCATCGGCCTTGGAAGCCTTCTTCTCTGGCAGAAGCTCTTGGAACTTCACGCTCTTCTTCTGTTCGGCCGCAGATTCTCCCAAGCGGTCGCGCAGGATATGAACAGCATGCTTGGTGCCGATTGAAACCGGCCCGCTGTCCGCCGGTTCGATCGTATCGTCAAAGTCGTCCAATGGCTGGTTCATGCCCTCGTCATCACTCATACGCAGACCCTGCTCCTCTTCGTCACCGGGAAATTCGATCTCGGACCGCTGATTCAACGTCGAGTCAAGACCGAGTCCCTCGTCAACCGGCACAATTGCCTCCTCTTCACCCAGCTCCAACGCAGGGGTAGTGGCCGCTTCGATATCCATGTCCGAGATGCCGCTGTCGCGTTTCCTCTTGAGTTCGCCAGCCTTTTTCACGGCGTCAAATGACAGCAAGTCGCGGAGCTCGGGGGCCCAGCCACGTCCACGACCTCCACCCATCACATTCGACACGAAATCTCCGTTTTTCTGCATGTTCATAAGGGTGAGAAGAACCGGGTCACGGGGCAAAGACGATGTTGGTTTAATGATTTCGGCGTGCATCTCACGCAGTTCCTTGATCTCTGCGCCACTGTAGGTGATCTTCTCATCAGCCTCCATCGGAGGTAGTTCAACCTTGCGCCGCTTGGAGCGCTGGCCATGTTGAGCTTGCTCAACCTGAGCTTCTTCCGAGTCTCTTCCTTCGACATCTTCTGCTCCCAGGTGAGAAGCACCATAAGCTTGTTCAAGTTCCTCCATGCCAGCATCATCAATATCGCTGAGTTCATCACGGTCGGATTCGTCGGCTTTGTCGCCATCAATTACCGGGCCGTCGTCACCGCCGAGATCGAGAGTGTCATCCGCCTGAAGGAGTGTGTCTTGAGGACCATCGTCGCCGAGGTCCATTTTATCCAAGGGAGCATCATCTTCACCGAGGTCCAGAGGCAGATCAACGTCGTTGAATTTGCCAGCATCACTAAAGAGATCCTCCTCGACAGGACGTGGGGCTGGAGCATCTCGACCAACTTCCATACTGAAATCATGACCCAACGGTGTCTCGTCTTCTCCCAAGTCGAGATCGACTAGAGTATGATCTTCAAGGCGTGGCGGTTCCTGGGAAACAGAGCGGCGGAAACTGCTATCGGGCAGAAGTTGACTACCAAAGTCCATAGATGATCCGGGCTGCTTTCCTTCCGGCTCCAAATTGAGTGACTGGGGTAGGAGCAAGGAGGAATCGAGGTTCATGAACAGGTCGGATTCTGTAAGGACATCAGGCAAAGTAATTCCGCCAGGTGCGACGACGGTGGTGGTGAGATCATTGTTGTTGGTCAACCGGAAGGCCTATGGCAGTTGATAAGCATCAGTACAGTTCGAGCTTCTACGACATCATGGTTCCAAGTAACATACCATTTTAATTTTCATCAGCGCTTCGTTGCAGTCATCCAGGAGGTAGCGCGCCTTTCTACTATAGATCCGGACCACACCCAGCAGCAGCTGGCCACTCAATCGCAAAGCCATAGGCGCTTGTCCTTGGTCAACGATGGCACTGACACTGCTTTCAATATCCGACTGCAAGATGTGTGATTTTGACAGTTTGCGCTCCAGATTAGCCGACAGCCAAACGCGGGCCAGCGGCCCGGTTTTCGACAGAAGAGTCTCCGAATAGAACATGGCGGCAGGTATGAAGGGCAGAAAAAGAGTACACAAAAAAACAAGACAATTTACTATCCCAAAGAAGGTTTGAAACAAAAGAAGCCAATCAAGAAAAGCCCGCGCAATGCGGGGTGGTGGTGGGAGTCCCTAGCAACCCAGGTGTTAATGACGCGCGCTGTATCCAGAAAACAACAGGATCAGGTGTTTCGCCCCTACAGCCCGCTTCAAAAGGGGTGTCGCAAAGGGAACGGCAACACGTAGCGAGGGATCCGAAAGGAAGCGAGTCAAAGCGATCGCGTAGAGACCAATGCAAGAGTATCCACCGCGTCCGTGATTCGGAAGGGGGGTGGTTGGGTTAGGATCAACCGAGTCGCTTGTGGTTGATTTGGGAGGCGGAGGTGGGAAAAAGAGGGAAAGAGAGCGTGGGAGCGCGTCCGGCGGGCGGAAGTCCAGGTATTATCAGGGAGAACCTAAGGCATTAATGGTTGCCCAGCCGCAACGAGGCCGCCCGCGCCCTGCTGATTGGCCCGTTAAGGGCGTGGCTGGGGTCACGTGAAGGGCCGCTGCTGACTGATACTCACGTCACGGGAGCGGCTAGTCCCCTTCCGGAGTCGGGCGGACTAACTGCGGTGCCGAGTCTAGGCCGCAAAGGGCAAGACATCATCAGCGTTAAGGTCAGCCTGTCCAGAAGCCAAGGGCCATTGCATGCAGCAAAAAAGATCCCCTCCTGGTGTCCATATGCTTCTCATAATCCACGGAGTTTTGACTGGTACTTCTGCTTCTCTCCTCATTCCCAAAGAGCCTACTTTGGATCATCGATCGCCCGTGGTGTCCGTGTGAACCGCCCTCTTCCAGACCCCGTGTGGCCCTTACTCTTAGCCTTGTTTCCACTTATCTTTAGTGCCCATCCAGTTATTATTTATTATTACCGATGCAGCCTCGCGTCTGAGAACGTGGCTTTTCGCAGTTCGGCTCTTGTGTTCATTCCGATCTTTCTTTCTTTCTTTCTTCTTTGGCCTCGCCTCCCTAATTGGCACTGACAATCGTTTTGCGCCATTGCCCCAACGGGATGATAACAACTATAAGCCAGATTTAACAGGACATTCTTTCGACAAAGCATGAGAGATGTCAAGGTCCGCGACGCCTGCGCTACCTTTGCATAATGCCCAGGTCCCCAATTTAAGACCTCCGTCTCCATCTCCGGCGGGTGTGCGCTCCAGTTCCTCTCCCCAAGTAAGTCAAGCCGCATCCATTTCGATCACTTTCGGGGACTTCAGCATTCCCCATTGCCCCTATTCAAGATCCTGAATGCTGACGCGGGATATCCTGAGCAGACTTCAACCTCGACCTACTCCCTATTAGACCCTCAAGAAACCGCGGAGCGCCTGCAAACATCTCTTACCCATGGACTCACCCCGGCAGAGGCCGAGGTGCGCTTGATACGGGATGGACCGAATGAATTGCCTCACGAGGAGCCCGAGCCGCTGTGGCTGCGGTTTCTCAAGCAGTTCCGGGAAACATTGATCTTGCTACTTCTAGGATCAGCAGCGATTTCGTTTTTCATGGGAAATTACGATGACGCCGTCAGCATCACTCTCGCCGTAACAATTGTCGTTACCGTAGGGTTCGTCCAGGAGTATCGGTCGGAGAAATCCTTGGAGGCACTGAGCCGCCTGGTACCGCATCATGCACATCTTATCCGTGACGTTCCCCATTGGAACACTCCCCCCATGGACAGCTCCATACCCGCCGCTCCCGCAGGACCCGATGAAGACATGGAATTGCAGGAACTTCGAAGCAAGAGTCCAGGCTCGGCGGTCAAGGCCTCCACCACGGTTCCTGCTGCCGAATTGGTGCCGGGTGACATGGTTCTTTTTAGTGTCGGTGACCGCATTCCAGCAGATATCAGAATCACCGCTGCAACGGACCTGTCCATCGATGAATCTAATCTCACCGGGGAGAACGAGCCGGTTACAAAGTTTGCCGACGCCATTCGGAATTCGAAGAACCTTTCAACCCATTCGCCTAAAATTGTCAGCCCCCCGCGGTCTCCGTTTTACGATGCCCCAGCCAGTGGGGCTGTAGGAGCGGATATCCGCTTGAACGAACAACACAATATTGCCTTTATGGGAACTTTGGTTAGATCGGGATATGGACAAGGAATTGTCATCGGCACTGGTGCAAAAACGGAGTTCGGCAGCATTTCCGCGTCATTGCAGGAGATTGAGAGCCCAAGAACGCCACTACAACTCTCAATGGATCGCCTGGGTCAAGAATTGAGCTATGTCTCTTTTGGTGTCATCGCGTTGATTGTTGTGATAGGGTTGCTTCAAGGCCGCAAGCTTCTTGAAATGTTTACCATTGGTGTCTCTCTGGCTGTCGCGGCGATCCCTGAAGGACTCCCCATCATTGTGACGGTAACCCTTGCTCTGGGCGTGCTGCGCATGGCAAAGAGGGGAGCCATCATGCGAAGACTTCCAAGTGTTGAGACGCTGGGATCAGTAAACGTTGTCTGCAGCGATAAAACGGGAACACTCACTCTCAATCATATGACTGTCACGAAAATGTGGCATTTTGACTGTCCTGAGCCATTCGAAGTGCACAACGACATCACATCTTTAACCCCAGGACCTGCAGCTCGAACCGTTCTTCGAATTGGAAACATTGCCAATAATGCCAGACTGTCACGTGTGAACGCGAACTCGCCCGCGAGCGCATCATCAGCCGCAGTGCTGTCTTCGACTGATGATAGAGCCTCTGGATCCGTCAAGAGCAGGTGGGTGGGTCAACCCACCGATGTCGCCATATTGGATCTATTAGACACCTTCGGGGAGGATGATGTACGTGATCGAATCAGTGCTCGCGTTGCCGAAACTCCCTTTAGTTCCGAACGCAAGTGGATGGGCGTGATTATTGGAAGCGGCTCTTCCGGCGAGACAAACGTTGCCTATATCAAGGGTGCGCTGGAGCAGGTTCTAAACAGATGTGATACCTACCTAACCAAGGACGGCCGCGAAGTCATCTTGGATGAGCGACGGCGCCAGACTGTCCGACAGGCAGCCGAGCAGATGGCATCGGAAGGTCTGAGAGTGCTCGCTTTCGCCAGTGGAGCTGTGAGAGATTCGTCTAGAGGAAGGCCTTTTGGGAGCAGGACCGGCACCCCTACTTCTAAAAGCAGCCAGGGCGATGACGACGATCGGTATACTGGATTGGTCTTCTCTGGACTGGTGGGGATGAACGATCCACCCCGGAAGAATGTCCACAAGGCGATCAGGCGCCTAATGGCTGGAGGGGTACGAATCATCATGATAACCGGTGATGCAGAAACCACAGCCGTGGCCATTGCAAAGAAACTCGGAATGCCAATCAGTGACGCTCCGGGTTCGCGGCCTGTGCTCAGTGGGGAAAATATTGATCGAATGAGCACGGAGGAGCTTGCGCAAGCGATAGCTTCTGTTTCAATTTTTGCCCGCACCAGTCCAGATCATAAAATGAAAATCGTTCGTGCACTTCAGTCCCGAGGCGATGTGGTAGCCATGACCGGAGATGGTGTGAACGATGCTCCGGCGCTGAAGAAAGCCGATATTGGCATCTCGATGGGAAAGCTAGGTACCGACGTCGCTAAGGAAGCCGCGGATATGATATTAACGGACGATGATTTCTCGACCATCCTGCGAGCCATTGAGCAGGGCAAAGGAATCTTTTATAACATCCAGAATTTCATTACATTCCAGCTCAGTACTAGCGTCGCCGCCTTGAGTCTCGTGCTGTTGAGTACGACTCTGGGCTTCAAGAACCCCCTCAATGCCATGCAGATTCTCTGGATCAGTAAGTGCTGCGCGCCCTTTGCCTCGTATCTTACTACTGTCAGTTGACTAACCTATTCTCATAGACATCCTCATGGATGGCCCTCCGGCGCAGTCATTGGGTGTAGAGCCGGTCGATCCGACGATCATGAGTCGTCCGCCGCGACCCAGAACAGCCCGGGTCCTCACGAAGCCGCTCATCCAACGGGTAGTCACTGCGGCTCTGACGATCATGATGGGCACCTTGGCGATTTACGTGTACGAGATGGGCGATGCGGACGACGGCATGACCCCTGGCAAGCGATCTCGAGTGGTTACGGCGCATGACACGACGATGACATTTACCTGCTTCGTGCTCTTTGACATGTTTAACGCCCTTGCTTGCCGCAGTGAGGGCAAATCTGTGCTTCGCGGCGAAATCTCACTCTTCGGAAACAAGATGTTCAATTACGCAGTGTTCGGATCCCTGGCCGGTCAAGCCTGCGTGATTTACCTGCCCTTCCTGCAAAGGATCTTCCAGACGGAACCACTCAACTTCGCCCATCTGTTCAAGTTGTTGTGTATCTCGAGTTCGGTCTTTTGGGTCGACGAGGCTCGAAAATTCTACCAGACTTTGAAGCGGCGCCGGGCCGTTGGGGTAGGGTACAGTGTGAATGTTTGATATGTACTCATTTCGGTAGAGACATAAACCCTGATTTCATATCATTTTTGGGGAAATGATGGGGTTGTATAATTGTATAGAAAACTGGAGGCGTTTCTTACATATCATTGTTGTGTATATCGACCATCAAATTTTTCTCTCCATTGGAGGACCTATACTTTCAATGCATTTCTGGAGCTGTGTATTGTGAGGGTCGTATCCGCTGTCGCGTTGAAGCCTGGCTGCCTGAGGTTCAATCCGCCGGGGGTTTCGTGCCGCCCTACGTGTGCCACGCGCCTAGGAAGACCTCTTCTTACTCCCAAGCTATCGGCGAAGCACCACGCAAGCGCCGGTGAACCATCAGCGAGGAGCAGAGACTCCCAACCCAAGCAATCCCACCATAAGTGATCGTCCACGTGGGGCTTGCTGCCTTGCAGCCCTTTTGCTCAGGATCAGTCTATCTAGGAGTCTGCCGTGTCACAATCGCCTGCGGCTTCTGCATATCCCTCATTCCAAGCTGCGGGACGAGGGAATAAAAGGGGAGGTACGCGGTCCAAGTAAGGTGGTGTTAGTCACTAGTGATGCTGTCTACGTATAGTACCTCGTAGCAATGGTACCTTAACCTGTTTACAGCATATAGTATACTTAGAGCGATAAGACACCACTACTCCGTAGATAAGACATAGCACCGAGAGCGTGGCTCGACCCACAGATAGAGACGAATCAAGGGCATTTCAGGTAGAACCAGGGACAGAGCTGCACAAATGCCGGCGTCCGGTGGTGCAGATATGATCCTCAACGTACCCCGGAGTCGATATCTTAGTACTACCAGTAGTCTGGTACTATCATCCAAGTACACCGTAAGGGATCTAGACACCCCACAGGAGATCTTGATGGATCGATAGGGTGACAAGAGTATGGTGAGAGATGATATCTGACACACGGGAGATTTTCCGTTGAAGAAAAAAAAAAATAACTATTCTTCCAACGTGAAATGTGATGCCATCGGACACTGCCAAGCCCCGCCGCAATGCCGGTTGTCGCAGTCCGCCCGACCCCAGCGCATGCCGAGTCCGATCCAGCTCTCCTCCATCGGAGAGGGAGTTCCCTGCAATGCCCGAGAGAACTCGGGAGAAGCAGGGAGGAGCGCAGGGATCCGGCCGGGCGGTCATTGGCTCATCTGGACGTTATCAGCGCTGTGGAGATCGCGGCGACAACGCTAGGCCACATCCGGTGGTCCCAGCGCCCCACTTGGCGGCAGGTGGCGTTCAGGCCTTATCGGGACCTCACAGCCAATCGTTTGGGTGATATCAATGAGCTCAGAGAAATGCAACATGATAAGGGCCGCATGCTCCTTCCGGAGACGACGGGGGGAAGGGGTCCTTGGCGGATGATAAGGCCTCGACCAGTCCCAACGGGCAGGTGAGTGGTCTGGGGAAGCATGTGGTTGTCCTGTTGTAGATGGAGTAGATAGCCGTTATCATCGGGGCAGCAGATAGCTCTCGTTGCTGTCGAACGCCTGGGGATCAAGGAGGTGGCCTTAAATACAAGGTCCACAGCCTGCCTTTCCCCTTCCCTCGAGGAGGCAGAGTCTCAAGGAACTCTGCTTCCGGTGTGGTGAGCTACCAGCCGAATCCAGCTCTCAATCGGCCCAATGCCAACCCGACCAAGCTTTCATGGAGGGCTACCCTTCCATAGTTTGCGAGGCCCATCATGGATGCTAAGGCTGGGCAAGAGAAAAAAACCCCCCGAATCTAGATAGATGATCGAGATCCTTCCATCTTCTTATGACTCGGACTATCTATGATGCCGAGGAAGCCGGAGGCCTACCACCCCGCCGTGGGTGAGTATGGTAAATGCTAATGTGATTATGTATTCGCCACATGTGGTTCGGCTCTGCAGTATCGCGGACGGTCTTGGCCCAGATGGGGCTCTCTTTTGCTTTTTTTTTGGGTCTTCTGGAACCCGAACTACGACGACCGGGGCAGACGCTAGTTCAGTCCCAGTTTCCCTCCGACTAAGTTAGGGTGTTGACAATTGAAACTTCGCCACAGTCTTTCAAGATGGATCTGGGACATACACCGTACCGTAGTGGTGACGCTGCGGTGTTGATCTGGATGGACCGGGAGGGAAATGATGCACTCACATCTCTCCCCTTGCGATGATGACAGGGATTTTTCTGTGTCGTTTCCGACAAATGGGTAGAAAAGCGGTGATTGGCGGACGGACGACGGCTAGGACGTTCTCGTCGAAGATCAGCCAGCCGAGTTTATTTTATTCCATTTGATTTTTCATTCTTCCGTTATCTCTGACTGAACGCTGACCACTATCTTTTACCTTTGGGGCTTGGGGTGCCCTCCCTTTACCCGCGCCTCCCTCGGAATGATGCTACCAGCTGAATGAATAATGACTGATCCCTCCCTTTCTCCCTCCCCTCCCCTTCCCTTTCTTTCTTTATTTGGATCTATCGAATCTCACTTGACAAAGAAGGCTTCCTTGTCCTCGTGTCTAAACGGAGTGCACCCCCCCACGGCCAATCCTGAATCAATCATCACTTTTTCCCATTTGAATTATCGTCGCTATTATTAACCATTTGCTGCCAATTGCTGTTGCGGCGGACTTTTCTTGGGTGCTCCACCACGCTTGTCTATCCTCTTTGGGAGGTCCCGATCGATTATCGCGCTCTGCCAATGATTTGTTACTAAGGCTCTTAGTGACTTCCCAATCATTTAGCTCTTATCTTTGGCTAGTTTGAGACCCGCGAAGTCGTCCCGTCCAATTCCAGACCCACTGGGGACGCCTTTCCAAAACTACCTTTCTTTTATATACCTCTTCCTCCTCCGCCCCCCGTGGCGGTCTTTTTCTCCACACAGAGCGGAGTTCCTCATCCTACCTTTGTCTTCTCTCTTTTTCCTCTCCTCGCTCTCCGCTGCAATCATCCTGGAGTGAGAAAGTGAGCTCTTTGACAGGTTCGACGAGCAGCTCCTTTCCATCTTATTCTCTCCCTAGGCCTCTTCGATCCCCTGTCAACCACTCAACATACCACGCTCCTGCTCGGCAATTTTTCCATCCCTCTCTCTCTCGTGCTCTGGGCTCCGAGCCCTTCCAGCTGCATCTTGATTCCGTCGACCACCTCACCTCGATTCTTTTTCTTGTCGTCTCAACCTTCGCCATGGCATCGACTACCAACGTGCCGTTCACCCCAGATTATGCATCTTACAACTGGACGGGCGCTCCCTCAAACTACGAGCAGCTCACAACCAATGTATTGGGTGGCAATTCACGTATGTAAATCTTGAATATAGGGTGTCAATGCTTGAAATCCCCCGGACTGACCGTCGTTGTAGGGGAGGAAAACGTGAACAAATGGTTCCAATCGGGTGATCAAGCCTACATTATCGTGGCGTCCGCCATGGTCATGGTCATGATTCCCGGTCTCGGCTTCCTCTACTCCGGCCTCGCTCGTCGAAAATCGGCATTGAGTATGATCTGGGCCTGTATGGCGTCTTTGTCCGTCGTCACGTTTCAATGGTATTTCTGGGGCTACTCGCTCGCTTTCTCGCCAACCGCCACCAACGGATTTATCGGTAACCTTCGCAACTTCGGTTTGATGAAGACTATGGCCGACCCAAGTCCTGGCTCCCCTCTGGTTCCCAACCTGCTCTACGCTTTCTATCAGGTATGCACATGGGAAGCCCGTGATCCATCCGAGATTCCTAGCTAACAAAACAACCCTTGGTAGATGCAATTCTGCGGAGTCACGGCTGCCATTATCATGGGAGCGGTCGCAGAACGTGGCCGCCTGCTCCCTGCGATGGTGTTTGTTTTCATCTGGGCGACAATCGTTTACTGCCCTCTCGCCTGCTGGACATGGAATGTGAACGGATGGGCGGCAAAGTGGGGGGTGTTGGATTATGCCGGTGGTGGCCCTGTCGAAATCGGTTCCGGTCTGTCTGCCCTCGCCTATTCAATGGTGTTGGGCCGTCGTCAGGAGCGCATGATGTTGAACTTCCGTCCTCATAACGTCTCGCTGATTCTTCTGGGAACCGTTTTCCTCTGGTTTGGCTGGCTTGGATTCAACGGCGGCTCGGCCTTTGGTGCCAACCTCCGTGCCGCTATGGCTTGCTGGAATACTAATTTGACTGCGGCTTTCGCGGCCATCACCTGGGTTGTCCTCGATTGGCGCCTGGCTCGAAAATGGTCTATGGTCGGCTGGTGTTCCGGAACCATTTCCGGCCTGGTCGCCGCCACTCCGGCTTCTGGTTTCATCACCCCCTGGGCTAGTGTGATTCTTGGTATTGTGACTGGAATTGTGTGTAACTATGCTACCAAGGGTAAGTTTGTGACAAGCCGATACTTGTGGTCGAACGAGTTGACTGACACAAATCTATAGTGAAATACTGGATCCGGATCGATGATTCGATGGATGTTTTCGCTGAGCACGGTGTCGCCGGTATTGTCGGTCTCATTTTCAACGCCCTCTTCGCGGACGATGCTATCGTTGGACTGGATGGAGTGAACACCGGCAGCAAAATGGGCGGATGGTTAATCCACAACTACAAGCAGCTCTACATCCAAATCGCCTTCATCGTCGCCGCCTGTGCTTACACCTTCGTCGTCTCTGCCATCATCGCGTATGCCATCAACGCCATCCCCGGTCTACAACTCCGTGCATCCGAAGAGGCCGAGCTGCTGGGTATGGATGACGACCAACTCGGTGAATTCGCCTACGACTACGTCGAGGTCCGCCGTGACTACCTGGCCTGGACCCCCCAGAAACACGACCAACTCGAGGACGGACACCAAATCCCTGCCGCTGCGCGGTACGGAATTGGCGAGCACAGCGAAATGATGTTGGACGGCCACCCACCCATCGGCATCGACAGCCGCGGCTGCAGCGAAGGCGATTCCGGCATCCAGGAAATCAAGATCGCCCCGGCTCCCCGACAGGTAGCTGAGCAACACCCGGTCGACGAAGGGGCTGAACTGCCCAGGCCGGATGAAAAGGCTCAGTGATCCGATCTCAGCTGTCCCCTGTTTCTGTTTTTCTCTAATTGTTACGATATCCAGCGTTTCTGTCTCACTTGGCTGGGCCATATTATGTGATGTATTAACTTATACCTGTCTGGGATTTGCTTGGAGCTGGAGTTTTGCTTTTTTTTATTTTCTCTCTTTTCTTATCGGGTTCATCTGACGGAATTGACTGTATATACTCGGGTTTTGGCGGGGGATAGTTTGTTTTTGTTTGTATGGGATTTTCCAGATACCACCTGCATAGATTGATTGGTTTAAAGAATATTGACCATGCTACTTATTTCCCCTCTTATTATCGTAGTAAGCCAATAAGACTAGGGCATGTCGATCTGATGCACAGTGGATCGGGTACCTTGCACTTGCAGCCTTAGGCCCGAGACCAGACCGAGAAGGAATTCGGTCATGAGCGTGGCTGCAGGTGACCAAACAAAGCAGCCAAATATTCCAACCCTCTTACAACTACTTCACTCACCGGACCTTTATCAAGAACGCGAACAATCAACTCTCGTTGCACAGAATCTATACAGGAAAAGAGGATATATATGTACTTGGATCTGAAAATGTATACACTCAATAGGACCAAACAGGAACCTCTTATTTTACCGACGACATTATCGCCTCACCATCCCTCGGATGCGCGTATGTTCCTCCCGATTCAGCTTGTCTACCACCTCGGCAGTCTCGCCCCCTCGCAAGACATCTTCCCACTCGTCCTCGTCCATTCCCATCACCAGCACCATTTGCATGCATCGTGCAAAGGCCTCGCGGTGTCGGTATCGGCCCGGTGCGCCGTACGTGCCGCCGATGTCCACCGCGGCGCTGACCACCCCCGAGATGTCCCGCTCGAGCCGCGTGGCTCCGAGTGCATTGACCCGGCCATGGTAAGACCATAGGCGTTTTTCCAAAAGTCGAGCAAGGTATGCCACCGTGACGGTCATCAGTCGGTCGAAGGCCGACGTAGTGAGGATGCGGGATAGCGGGAGAAGAAGCTCGGTCCAGCTGGCTGCGAAGCGGGGACGGACGAGTTCGGCTCGAGTTGTTGAGTCGTCGTCCGCTTCGTCGTGATGATCGTACTCGCCGTAGGCAGCGCTGGTAGGGTCGTTGTCTTCCCCGGGTTGGTATTCGATGTCTCGGAAGGTGTCGGCAAGGATAGGCCGAAGACGGTGTTTGATAACGTTATTGAATACGACCTGGATGCCGTCCGACAGGAGATCATTGACCTTGGATTCAAATGAGGATGAAAGGGTCTGTAGGGTCTGCGTTGCAAGAGTCGCTTCCGCGGGGACAGTGAACAGGGAGCGAATTTGATCGGTTTCTTCAACTTGACCGTCGGGACTTGTCATCCTCTTGGTTTCGGTGTTGTTCTGGACAACCCGTTGGACGTAGTCTACGGCCACATCCAAATTGTTGATCAACACCAAGAAGGCAATGATCATATGTTCCGGCGGCTGACCCCCTTGGACGGCAGCTCGTGGGTAACATTCATCGCGCATTTTTCGCTGTGTCATGCCGATAAAGTCCGAGCCAAGGACTCGGGATAGCGTGGGGATAACATTAGTCACCACACCGATTTGCGACGTAGCCAGGGATTGCTGCAAGACTTTGTTTACAATCCACATGATATCACCAACAGCCGAGGTGATATGCGGCGGGTCGGCTTTCAGCGGCTTTAGGGGGTTCAAGGTCAGCCCAGAAGGCTGCTCATCCAACTGGAAGGCCTTTTCGACCGACCGCCGGAAGAAGAAAGTTGTCATGGCATTGAAGGGGGCCACAAGTCGATCGTTGACCTTCTTCATCAGAGTCGAATCTTGCAGGAATGGAGGTCGTGTGAATTGGCCTTCGCTTTCAGGGGGCTGGGAACTCGTTAGTGACACATTGGTGAAGGGTAAGGCCTGTTGACTTACGTTGCAGGTTTCAGCTAAGAATCGGCAGTAGAGAGACCACCGGCCTAGCATGACGGCCATCTCATTCAGAAGCCCATCGATTTCTTTCATATCTACACCCTCATCCTCGGCAGCCCCTAGGGCTCCATCACGGGTTGCAGGAGAGTTAGACCGCGGGGTCGTGCTCCGCTGGGGCGGCAGGAAGCTTTGCACCAGGAAAGTAAACGCATAAGATTTGATATCCGTGAGCTTGCGATCGACGTGTCTCTCATCGCTCCAGGTGTCAAGGATGATTCCACCTTGGACATCGGCTTCGAGCTGCAACCGCTCAATGACCCGATTCATCTTCCGGGGGCCATAGTGACGTTCTACCAACCCCCCATGGCCATCAATGATCTGAGCGATGTGTTCAAACAACTTCGTAAGCGCATTTGCGTAGAAAAACCCATCCTTGCTCTGAGCGCCAGTTCCCGCGTTGAGGTTGGTTCGCGCCCGCGATGCCACCCCCTGGCAGACGTAGCGTCCATACACATCAAGACCAACCTCCGAGCGACCAATCAGGGGGAACAGCTTGAAGAATCGAGTAATCTTGGCACCGTTGGTCTCCTTGACGGCCTTTTCAAACTCGCGTAAGAACAGGCCGCAGAGAGATTCGGCCGCATGGTCCAGCGTGACATTGGGTGGATCCGGCACCTCAGCCGTAGGCACCATCTCAGCTGCGAACGATCCATGGACCACGTCGGACGGGATCTTGGAGGCGCGGCTCAGGTAGCTGGCGGCCGTTTCCCAGTCCTGGGGAGCTCCCATGGAGCCGGCGACACCGAGCACGCAGGCCTTCAGTTCGGAAACCTGCTCCACAACCTCCAAAGTTGCCTTCACCCGAGATTGTTCCAGATCGAGATGGCGGACGGCGCTCGAGATGCGATCCGCGGTGGCCGCAGCGTTGGAGAGCATGCCATGGCTGATGGAGCGGGTGGTGCTGGTCTGCGAGCCTAGGTTGGCTCGCAACAGATCCAATCGGCCTAGTTCGCGGGAAAAATCCTTTTGTGAGGCGACGAGAGCGTCTAGACGGGCCGTGACCGACGCCTCCTGGTCATGCAGGTGCGACAAAGTGGCCTTGATCTCGGCGACGGAGCTGGCATTGAAGATGTCCGGGGCGGGATCCGACGAGGAAGGAGGGCGATGCTGGCCTGATGGCGATGATGAAGTCTCCACATTCCCATTGGTCGGGCCGGGAGTTGATTTGGGCATTGTCCACGAAGGGGAGACTGAATCAAGCGGCGAACAAGAGGAGCGACGAGCGGCCAAATTGGACAATGGGCGATCTGGCGACTTGGGGAGGGCCGCCGCCGCAGCCCGCCGGGGAAGGCGGTGAGAAGGCTGTCAACAAAGGCCGGAAAATTACCTGCGAAATGCTTGGTATCTTGCCTCAGGCATCCAAACACCTGCAATGAGGATTGGCTTGCTACTACACATGCGCTTACTCTTGCGTGAATATACACTTGCTCTGTTGCAAAATGCTCTGTGTAGGATTACTCTATGTTTAAGTCTATTTTATATAGAGGCTTACTATCCCCATTGGTAGGTCTTATAATATATAAAAACGTAACTTAATTATATATATATCTTAACCGATTCTTGCTATCATCACCTTCGTAGTAAGTAGTAGTAAACATAGGACAACCAAACAAAGAATGGATATTTATAACAATGTCCCACACCCCAACAAACGCCGTGTCCCCTTCCCTATCATACCCCGTCTCTGTTCAACCCGTGGTTCAAGGATCCAACCCTAGAGCAGGACTGGCCCAAGCGGCCATGTCGGCTGTTTCGATGGAGCCGGATGGCAATCAATGCAGCCCCCTGATTCGGGCTCGAGGCCCTATCGTCGCTTACCGCGCTAGGTGAGGGAACACATGCGCTAATCCCCCGATCTTCTCCGGTTCGCTGCTTCTCCTTGCTCCGGCCTGCTTCCCCGACCCGTTCAAATGCTGTCGCACCCGCTGCTCGTAGGCGGTCGAGATCCCCAGAGTCCGGTCCACCTCCTCGGTCAGTCGCTCCACTTCATCCCGAAGCCGTTCATCCTTAGTCTTCACTTCCATCTCGGCTTCGCGGGATTCCTTGTCGGGATTCGTCGCCTGCCAGAGGAGCTCCAGGTCTTGTTCCCAGCCGAGAGCGCGAGCAAACTTCCGCACCCCCGTGTCGCAATCGCCCAGGATGAGGACATCGTCAGCACGGGAGCCCATCCCTCCTACTCGTTCCATGTTAATCAGAATGCGCGGGGTCCCATCCCGACAAAACGCCGGCAGACTTGCAAACGGTTGCACGGAAAGGCTCGTGCCCATGACGATACAGAGGTCGGCCTCCTCGGGAAGGGTTCGGTTGTCGAAGAAGTCCCCGGGCAGAGATTCGCCAAAGAAGACGATGTCGGGCTTCACGAGTCCGTTGCACTGGGAACAGTGCGGTACCTCGCCCTTAGCAATGGCATCCTTCATCAGGGCCTCCGGGTATTCCGCGCCACAGTCGATGCAATGCTGATTGGCGAAACTACCGTGGGCCTCGACGATGATCTCACCCGGCACGCCCGCCAGACGCTCGAGGCAATCGATGTTCTGCGTGAAGTGCTTCAGCAGCAAGCCCTTATCATACAGCAGCTTGATCAGCGAATGCGCAATGGTCGGTCGATAGCGGCCGGGGGCCAGCTCCCGCGCCAAGGCGTAGAACGGTCGCGGATTCTCTCTGAAAAACGAAATGTCGAACACTGCTTCGGGATCGGGCAGGTCGAGGTGGGCTAAATTGGCGTATATCCCAGTGTCTGGTGAACGGAAGTCGGGAATACCCGCTGACGTGCTGATGCCCGCGCCGACCATCACCACAATGCGTCGGACATCCTTTTCTTTGATGTACTTGGCCAGTGCCTCAACCGTGCGCGCCTCGAGCACGGAAGGGGGCGTTGTGTCGTCTATCAAGGTCGAAGATTCGTTCCCCATTCTCGTATCGGTGTTAGTGTTGATGTCGGGGACGGCAACGGCGACCGATGGTGGCGGTTCTGGGATCTATGAAGGGAGAAAAAACAGATGTGTCTAAGAATAGGGCAAAAGTAAGATAAGATCTATTCCCGTAATGGATAACGAGGGCAATTGAAATCGAGAATTCTCTCGAGTCGCGGGAGAGGGGTGATTACGACAAGCCATTACGTCCACTCCGCAACACAAAATACCTTTGAATTCTGCCCGCAGAATACTATCGTTCTATCTAGACTCACGGAGGGGTTCCATCTTAGCCTTGGTGTTAGGCGGTGAGATAAGCGGTGATGTCGAATCGGTTTGCCGAATAGAACCGTCGCTGCCTGAGGCGTCCACCGGGGAAATCGGGATGCACAGAAACGGTCTTGGATTCTGACCTAGGTGCAGCTTCCGATCCCTCTGGCTCGACAAAATGGGAATCCAACACCGCGCCCCTTCGGAGACACTGAGGCCCTGTCAATACCTTCTGGCGACTGGCCCTATATTGCTCGGAAGGGGCGGTTGTTGAACCGGGCGTTCCTATATCTGTGCGAAAGGCTGTCCTGATTATACGCCATATCCCCTGGCGGTAGTAGGCAGCGGCTGCTTCTGGTTGCTAGCAGCACTTCGCTGCCGTGAAATACCTGGTTAGATAGGCTTTCCATATGTGTAAAGGGCCAGCGAGCTGTCCCACGGAGTATGTTTACTACTCCTACGAAGATGATGACAGCAAAAACCGTTTAAGATTTTTTTAAGCAATTATCCTTATTACCCCTCTTGCTCTTTTAGCACAGACCTCGTATGATATAGCCCTAAAGACCGACGTGGACGCCAAGCTTGAGCGGTGATGCCTTTACAGTCAGGGGTCAAAAGTCAATACTCCGTGACCCAGTTGAGATGACATGCGATGAAGATGCAAATTGCAATCGTAATCATGATGCGGATTCCTGAGGCCAAATAAAGCTACCTAAACAAGGACCGGTGAGGCGATCCTCGAGTCCACAGCGGAGTCATCGTGAGCGCCGTGAATGGTGGAGGGCCAGAGACTTAAGGCTCCCGCGCTGCCCCACGCCTGATATCATCCAGTCGTCTCGTTGCCCCTCCGCCCACTTCTCTACTTTACCTCGTTTTCTTTTTCCATTCTCCATCCTTATTCCCCTCCGTTCCCTCTCTCCATCCCCCATCCTCCTCCTCTTATCTTGTCAATTGCTTTTCCATCGTCTTCTTTTTTCTTCTTCTATCTCCTTACCAGCTCGCCATCATGGTCGGAATCGGTCCTAAGCGCCCCCCATCCCGCAAGGGTAAGCTGATATCATCACCCATCTATTCCGTCATTCCCGCTTCGACTACATACTCATGCCCCCTCGCCAGGTTCGAGGCACGAATTGCCTCAGAATCTCCTGCAGCAGATCAAGGAGCTCGAGGATATCTTCACCGTTGATACGGCCAGGTTGAAGCAAGTGGTGGACCATTTCGTCAAGGAACTGGAGAAGGGTGGGTTAATCGGCTCTTACTACCTGGCGGGAAGGCGGTTGCTAACTGCGGAGGGTTGGTGTAGGTCTCAGCGTCGAGGGTGGAAACATCGTAAGTCTTTGCCCTCCCCTTGCCCCGACGCCTTATCGCGCATCGGCATCACTTCATGGATGTGTTGGCTAATCCAGATCCCTCCAGCCCATGAACGTTACCTGGGTGATGGGTTTCCCCGACGGCGATGAGCAAGGAACCTTCTTGGCCCTGGACATGGGTGGCACCAACCTGCGTGTCTGTGAGATTACCTTGACCAAGGAGAAGGGTGCTTTCGACATCACTCAGTCCAAGTACCGCATGCCCGAGGAATTGAAGACCGGCACCGCCGAGGAGCTGTGGGAGTACGTTGCCGACTGTCTCCAGCAATTCATCGAATACCACCACGAGAACGAGGACTTGGCCAAGCTGCCCCTAGGTTTCACCTTCTCCTACCCCGCTACCCAGGAGTACATCGACCACGGTGTCCTGCAGCGGTGGACCAAGGGCTTCGACATCGACGGTGTTGAGGGCCAGGATGTTGTTCCCCCACTCGAGGAGATTCTCAAGAAGCGGGTACGAGAAACCTAACTAGTTTTACTTTCTTCTTCCGACGTTACGGGTGGCTAATAATCATTCTTGGAGTGTTATAGGGTCTTCCGATTAAGGTTGCTGCCTTGATCAACGACACCACCGGAACTCTGATCGCCTCTTCCTACACGGACTCCGCCATGAAGATCGGTTGTATCTTCGGAACCGGTGTCAACGCCGCCTACATGGAGAACGTGGGCTCCGTGCCCAAGCTGGCCCACATGAACCTCCCCGCTGACCTGCCGGTGGCCATCAACTGCGAGTACGGTGCTTTTGACAACGAGCACATTGTTCTGCCCTTGACGAAATACGACCACATCATCGACCGCGACTCGCCTCGTCCGGGCCAGCAGGCGTTCGAGAAGATGACCGCGGGTCTTTACCTGGGTGAAATCTTCCGTCTGGCCTTGCTGGATCTCTTGGAGAGCCGGCCCGGTCTGGTCTTCCGTGACCAGGACACCTCGCAGCTGCGCAAGCCGTACCTGCTGGACTCGTCTTTCCTGGCGGCCATCGAGGAGGACCCCTATGAGAACCTGCAGGAGACGGAGGAGCTGATGGAGCGCAAGCTGAACATCAAGGCCACGCAGGCGGAACTGGAACTGATCCGTCGCCTGGCCGAGCTGATCGGAACGCGCGCGGCTCGCCTGTCGGCATGCGGTGTGGCCGCCATCTGCAAGAAGAAGAACATGGAGTCGTGCCACGTGGGCGCGGACGGTTCCGTCTTCACCAAATACCCTCACTTCAAGGCCCGTGGAGCGCAGGCGCTGCGCGAAATCCTCGACTGGAAGCCGACCGAGCAGGACAAGGTGTCCATCATGGCGGCCGAGGATGGATCCGGTGTGGGCGCCGCCCTTATCGCTGCGTTGACTCTGAAGCGCGTCAAGGCGGGTAACCTGGCTGGTATCCGCAACATGGAGGAAATGAGGACATTGCTGTAAATGTTGGACCTTTCTTGGGATGATTTATTTATATTTTTTTTTTTATCTTTTGCTTTCCTCTGTCCTCCATATTAGAGGGGATGTGCGCGTTTTGATTTGGGCAATGGTTTGGAGAAACCAGAATAAAAAAAGGTTACGATAGGGATGCACATATGACAGCATGAAGATGGGGACACACGGAGTACGCCTAGATGTCGGAATAGGACTAAATGACAGATAACTCCAGAGTCTGACAGTTCCCACTACTCTTTTCTTTCCCTCTTTTCCCCCGGGCCCGTCGATAGGCCTGTAAGCAGAACCCCAGAAATGTGGCTGGAATGGATCGACCGGTAGAAATCCTCGATGCGGAGATGCTCAACAATGTAGATTCCCCTTTTGTCGGTTGTGCAGTCGTCAAGGGAGCGGTTGCGCTGGACAGCCCATGTGTGAAGGATTGCGTTTTCGGAAATGCCTGTCCCCATGCAGTGATGGATCCATCAGTGGCACATATATGAGCCTGTAGAAGTGACAACGGTCTCATCCCTTGTCTCACATTTTCCTCTACTCCGTATACTTCGAGCGCTTTATATCCCTTGATCCAAATAAACACATTAAACCATCTTCTCCATACACTATAATTCCATCCTTCTGTTCTCATCCATCCCTACTCCCCAACCAAATACCTACCTACCTACTTATTCACAATGAAGCTCTCTATCCTCCTCCTCGGCACAGCTATCGGCGCCATGGCCGTTCCCCACGGGGGCCACATCGTCCGCGATACTCCTTCCATCTCCGAGGGCGTCAGCGCCAGCTCCACGCCTACTACACTGGTTACTGCTAGTAGTGCCACAACCCCCAGCAGTGCCTCCCCCAGTAGCATGGCCCCCAGCAGCAGCGTTTTTCCTAGCAGCAGCAGCGCAATCCCCACCCCTACTAGCACCCCCGTGCATACCACGCCGTCGCCGTCGCCGTCCGCCTCAAAACCGGTAAGTTAAGAAGCCCTCGACCGACAATGATATACATTCCCTCCCAGACTGACCGACTCGCAGAAGCAGAAGAATCCCTTCCTGTCAAAGGTAAGTACTTAACTGAGAACGCAAATCCCGTTGCGAAATTGGCGTGTCCCTCCATTGATTGCTATGGAAACGTGAGCGTTGATCGAATGTCGCTAATGGAATGTTAATCCTAAATAGGTGACGGGGCTATTGGATGTGGTACGTTTCTCTCTCTCTCTCGCTTTCCCCTTGATTTTCACTTCTGTTCACTGTTCCTTATTTCCACTTGTCTTGCTCCTGTCGCATTCCACGACAGATGGGAAAAAGTTATGATTGACAGTTCGTGTACTGACACAAACCAAACCAAACAGCTCGGATCGATAGTCGGCGCTTGAGATGCTTTAGGGCTGTCTGGTCAGTAGCAATCTGCCCTTATCTTACGATTAGTGGCAGACGCTGGCAGCAACTGGCCCGGTTGGCACAATTGGTAAGCGCGTTCGGCTTTTAACCGAAAGGCTGTGGGTTCGAGCCCCACATCGGGCGAGCTTTCTTTTTTTTTTTTTTAATTCAGATCTCTCTTGTTTCTACGAAGTATATTTTTTTTCTATTCTTGTTTTTCTATTCTGGGAGGAAAGTCATGTTTGGGACTTGTTTTACGTCTTTATTAGTTGTGGCTGTAATCTCTGAATGCTGTTTCCCATTATTTGCTATCATATCACTGAATGCAAAGGCCTTACTTAATATGTGTACATTGTCTCTATAGATATCTAGTTATTGTACTCCGTCCGGCTCAGAAGTAGCAATGTCACTTTTGTATATGCCTCCCGTCATGTCAGAATTCCGACTCATCTCTTTTGTTCTTGTCTTTCTGGTCATTTACCAGACCATCTACCCCCGGATCTCGAATAGTCTGATCCGGCCCTGTTCGTTGGCCACTGCAAGTTGCTCGGAGTTGGGCGAGATGGCTACCGACGAGATTCGGCCCAAAGGCGTGTTGGACGTGGGCCAGTTGCGGAACACGGTACACGAAGGAAGGTGAACTGTAACATGTTAGAGATCGTTTTTTGCAGAGGAAACCGAGAGAAAACTTACCGACTCTCAGAGCATCCCTCTTCCACCGACTAGCCATGACGAAGAACTGTCCGTCCGGCGCGAACTCCAGGTGACTGATCGGTGTCGTGAGCTGGTCCAGGGCACGCACGGGCTCTGGGTTGCGTGGGATAGCAGACGAGGGCTGCGTGGCGTACGCCGCTGCCCAGGGCCGCCGGTCGTACACGTTGACGATGCCGCTGGAGCTGCCGATGGCCACCCAGCGGTCACCTCCCAGCTGCGTGCGTCCGGACCGTCCTCCCAGGCTGAGCACCGTCGTGCCCACCGCGCCCGCGTCCACCCATCGGGCCACGACCCGGCTGGATTTCCTGTCCCACTCGGACACTTCACCGTTCTTGCTGACAACCGTCATACCCTCGCCGTCACTCCACCAAGCGAAGTCCGCTACGCCGCCGCGGCCGTCCACCCGGACCTGGGCAATCCACTGCGCCGTACCAGAATCGAGGACGTTGATGAGACCGCCGCCCTTGCGCGACGTGCCCACAAGCCCGACGTACCGACCACAGGGCGAGAGCTTGAATCGCTCCATGGACTTCTGTTCCTCCCTCCGATCCGCCGTGCCGTTCACCTTGTCCACCTTGCCGGTGTTCAAGTCCCAGATGTGGAAGTAGCGCCGGCGGCCCGAGGCAAAGATCTTGTTGCCAGCGGGGGCAAACGCCGAGGTGTGGATGGGCGTACGGCGGATATGGAACGAGGTTAGGAGGGGGTTGGGGGCCGCAGAAGATGGCGAGATGTGGTGAAGGAAGAGCGTCGCTGCCGGCCCCGAGGACAGTAGCAATGGGTAGTGAGGATGGAAGCAAAGCGAATCGATCGAAGACTGGCGGATTTGTTTGATTAGCACGTTGGTTAGTTATCGCCAAAGTCTAAATCAGGGCCACACTTACCGGCTGGTCTTTCCCAACGTCCTTCAACCTCTGAATATCCAGCATTTCCTGGCGCAGCTTTCTCTTTCCACCCGCGTGCGTGTTATCCTCAAGTTTTGTGAGGTCGGTGACGCCTTGAAGGAGCTTCGCAAGAGGCTGCGCGGAATTTGGGCCCTCGTCATCCGTATCCATGTCGTCCGAGTCGGAGTCATTTCGTGCCACGCTCAGCTCGGGGTTCGCCCATTCAGGCGTCGGGTGCAATTGCTGGTACTGTCTGCGAAGACGTCGAATATACTCCTTACCGCTGATCACATCCTCGGACTCGGCCACGCGCAGCTTCCTCAGCCTCTGATGGCTCGCAAGCGAGACCGTGAGACGCTCATCGTCGCTGTCGTGCCACACCGCCGGCAGTTCATCCGCCTCGTCGTCATCTTCGGTCCCGGCATCGGACATCAACTCGGTGGGCGCGGCGACGTCCGCATCCGCGCCGGAATCGAGGAAGAAAAGCTGTTGGAAACAAGTGTTAGCAGAATGAGGCCGAAGCGAAACGGAGGGCCACAAACATCGGCATCCGCCATATCGTCCAGCGCTTTTTCCTCGCCCTCCTCGCCCTCTTCCTCTTCACTGGCTGCCTCATCGTCACTCAAAGTCGATAGCGCCGTCAAACTGCGATTTTGATGGCTCTTCAATGCGTCATGGAATCCCTCGTCGTCGCCGAAGAGCATTTTCTCCAGTTTCCTCTCCGCCTCGTCCTTCTCGGGCACATCATCATCGCTATCGCTAGTCCCGCTGTCCATTTCCACGTCGCTATCATCATGGGCAGGTTTTGCCGTCTCAAAAGGCGACCGTGAAGTCGGCTTTGCCTTTTGGCGGGTTTTATCCTTGACCGCGGCTTTCGGCATTGTTGATGCGGCCTTGGTGTTGGTTGGATTCAAAATGACCTTATATGACAGTATTAGGTATAGAGATAGATTCTGGGGACAAAAGGCCGGAAACAAACGCCAGGGCAGGAAAACGAGGGCTGTCGCAGATCGGAAAAGGATTCGAAGAGGCCGCCGACAAATAATTTTCTGCGCTCGTCCGGCAGATGCGGGCGGTGGGCTCTGCGGTGGACGCCGCTGCCTTAGGGTACGCCCATCTTTTCAGGCAGCCACTCCGGTATCTACATACAACCTTCGTCTTTTATATTTCTTTATGATTATCTTTCGCTCTTGTTCCCTCTTCTGCTTAATATATATTATTTATGATCAACTAGACAAAGTGAATGAATCGCAAGAAAGAGAGGAGAAAGCGGTAATCAATTCTGTACAGACTAATATAGTGCGTGTATTCTGCTTGAACGGAAGTGACCAAAATCAAAACAAACATATGTATAGCAAGATCCGGATAGAAGAATCAAAAAAACAAAAAAACAAGAAAATAGCTCCGTAGTAATATAAAAACCGTTGCCGGTAACCCAACTCCAACATGTAACACCGCAGACCATAACCGTCAATCCTTCCGTTGTCATGGAGTCTTTTGCTGTACCGTGAGTTTCGTAGATGATGACATCAAATCATATTCGCCATGGCTGCTGCTGGAACCGGTTGAGGCAGACGAGGCAGAAATGTTCTCACCCCGGGATGCAGGGGGATAATCGGCAGCGTCGAATTTCGATAGAGCTTCTTTCGTTCGCGTCGGGCTGTCCAGATCTTTGGCGGGTCCTCGCTCCGCAGCGTCGTCCTCGGACACCAACGTTCCGTCATCCTCCAAACCTGCCAACAGTGCGTGGCGGTGGTCGTGGTCATCGTCTAAGTCGTCCTCATGGTCATCCCCTTCCTCTAGCAACTCATGCGATGGTTTCTTGATGAAAGTGTCGATGATGTAATATTGAATTGCGTTCATGCAAACGGGGAACAGGAGCATGACGAAGAAAATTTGCACGGCTGCATTTCCCTCCGTCCATCGCAAAGCCCAATCACCGACCTTGACAATGAACGGCACGAGCTGGATGAGGAAGAAGACACAGATTTTCATCCCCAGCAATCCAATGAAATATATAATCGACTGCTTGAACCACCAAAATGCACGAGGCGGGCGACCATAGTTACCCGAAATAATCGATTCCGGGGGGTTGGCGAGCGGAGTATAAGAGGCCAAGCGATTTAGTACATGGAGAATGAAGATCAGAATCGGAATACCAAGGGTGGTCTAATCGCCGAGTCCACATTAGCTTAGAAGTTTCTGGGTAGCCCATCAGGGCAAGGGGTCGCGACACTCACGTCGATGCCCAGATTCAACAAGTAGAAAGAACAGGGGTTGGGTTTATAGTCGCTGGTGATCTCCAGTTGGCCGGCAGAGAACATGGACATGAGTAAATTTGCGAGATGGAGCATTGCCGACCCAAAGACCTGTTTTGAGACGTCGAAGGCCCATACTTTCAGGGGCCGCTGCGGCCTTTCCCTCCATCGTTTGTAGACCAGAGACAACAGGGCCAGCCCCCCGAGCGCGGCCTGAACGAGGAGCGAAAAAGGTCCCAAAAGCCTGCATTCTCCGTTTTCATCATCTGGGTCCCCAGAAGAATCTGGGCCCGCTAGCGGATAGGGGATGGACTGTGCTGATGGCGAAGGCGAAGGTGACGGCGTCGCGATGGTGCTGGAAGTCGAACCGAGGTCGCCAGCGGAAGCGCAGCCGACGAGCAGGACGATGGCGGTCGCGGTGACCGCAAGTCGCGACACGGTCATGGTAGTCGCTTCAAGAATCACAGAAGGATGAATGATGTGAGTCTCAGATAGGCGGCAGGTGTCATCGACAGAGAGGGTAGCTACTAGTTCGTGGCGACGATACGAGAAGTAAGCAGTGACGGAGAACGGGCGCTTGTGTTAGAAACGGGCACGGGCAACGGAGGCAAGGTAAAAGAAGAGGAAGAGGGATAAACAAGGTCCCGTGGGAAAAATTCAGATAAGAATAGGTTTGGCGTGCATGAGAATCCCCGTGTGATTACTCCTTTACCAGCAAGGAGCCTGAACCAGCCAGGAGCGGTGGATTAGATTCATTTATTGGAATTTGAAGGGAGGAACGAACTCCGTAGGTTCCAACCGGCGGTGCCAGAACGAGACAGGACGAGACAGGACGAGACAGGACGAGACAGGACGAGACAAGACGAGACAAGGCCCCCGCAATGTGGGTGGAGTTGGTCACTAGTTCGCCTTAGTCACGCTGCTCTCGCCGCAACCCTGCAGCCTGAGGTCACAACTCGCAATACTCGGTGAAAATCTAATATGATCATCTTGTCGGCAAAGAAGTTGAATGAGTGGAGTGGGATGCTCATGATAGTTGATACCCTGACCACTGCCATCTCCTACTACCCAGTTGTTACACAGTTGCTACAAAAACCCACGAATCCTAGAAACGATCTATTACTGGACCAAACCAGAGATGAAATTAAAGCCTATCGGTCATTATCCTAGCCCCCAAACTCCAAAGCCCTTCCGGAGACTACAAGGGATCACCGGACAACACCCGGCCTGTGTATTCACTCCGGACCATCTTAGATCATAAGTCTCTCAACCTTGTCCTTGATGGTTCTGATCTGTCCCATAAGATCACTGGCCTCGTTGGTGGTGATGCTGGCCGCGATCACGGGGCGAGAGACACCGGTGGCGCGACCCAGAGCAAGCTTGCTGGGGACGAAAACGTAGGGGGTGTTCTTGTCCTCGGCGAGCAGAGGCAGGTGAAGAAGGATGGCCAGGGGGTTGCAGTCAGCGGCGAGAATCACAATCTCGGCAGTACCGCGGTTAAGCGTCTTGGTGGCTATGTGAGAGTTAATAAATGAACAGATCGATCGAGGGTATGGATTCCACCGACCTTCGTTAGCGCCCTTCTTCAACTGGCGGTAATGGGACGCCTGCTGCACGAGGTCCAGGATGTTCTGAGTGAGGGCCTCATCGGCCAGAGGCCAAGCTGTCGGAAAATGAGGCATCAGTATAACGTCGCATGCGGTTCTGGTGGGCGAGAGCTGTCTACTTACCAGCATTCGGTTCTCCAGACATAATTACTGTGGGTTGATTGAGGATGTGAGATCAAAAGATAAGATATGGCTCACGCAAAGGATCACTGCCGCGGTGCAGATCAGAATTGGATGTTTGAGGGTTGGAAGAAGGAAAGACCAAAAAAAAAAAAGCCGTCCATTTTTCTTCGGCAGAAAATCTCGACGGCGACTGGTCGGTGGGGGCCTGATCGGACTAACCGCTCCAGGAATGGTACCGAGATATTTTATGCCTGTGTCTTTAGGCATCAACAACGGGCACTGACTCACTCGGTTCGATAACTACACCTATTACTCCGTACCTAGTTGGCATTCATGCTGCAACAATGGATATATTGAAGACACAATTGATCTACCGGTAAAGAAAAAAGAAAATCTCTATACCCTACGTCTCCCTACAAGTGCTAGTGCTAGTAGTAGACACCCACTTACTATGGACACTGCCCTCTACTATTGTATTGCTTTCCTATGCTCGAAGTACCCAGATAGCAAGTTAGCAACGAGATAGTAAAGATCCCTGACTCTTGGATGTCGCGCCACGCCGTCATTATCGGCACCTTATTGACTTCTGGCCCTCGCGACTAGCGACCAGGGGTGGGTACTATTGAAGTTGCTTTCAAGCTATCCTCGCCAGGCAGCGAACAAACCTACAGATAACGGAACAAGCTTAGAACAGGTTTATGCGGGTCACCGAGCGACCCTGTTGCTAATATAAGTATGCGCAGAAGTCCGAGTCATATCGCATGGGCACCACTGCATGATCTTCATGGATCGAGGTCCCTTGTGCAGCTCACAGTTCACGGAGCGATCATCAACAACCTATGCCGACTACCGCACGCTAGCACATAAGCGCCTTTCAGTAATATGTACTCCCGTAGTCCGTAGTCTAAACTAAGCGCGAAACATTGTACATAGTACATACATACTTCGTACATGTAAGCTGCCCACCTGGGGTGCAGATTCTATGCCTGGACGAAGATCTGAAAACAGAAAGGCTGCTCACGAGTCTATCGCAGCAGTCGACGGTGGCCCGCGATCGAGATGATTACATTGATCGTAGCGACTAACTGGTATAACGGCACCAAGGCCAGTATGAAAGAACCCATTCTGTATCACTTCCCTAGGCAATCGCCAGAAGATCACATTCTACCCTCCGGCCACCCTCACACCCATGAAGAAGAGTCACGAAATCCATCAGAGTAAAACGCCAGAAACCCCACAACCAACCCATAATAAAACGCGGCCAGATGCCGGAAAAGGGGACGCAGAGAAAGCGACAAAAAGAATCATAACGTCATTCTATACCGTGTTGCTGTTTAAGACGTTCCAAATTCTCTTGCCTTTCCGCCATATCCTCTTTCGACCTAAGCATTTTTTCCGGCTGGTGATATAGGACTGCAACGAAACGAGAGAATGTCAGTCGCGGCCTCGGGCTCTCATCCCTGGGGGAGTCACGTACCGACGAGATATCTGTTCTGGAAATTGAATCCATTGAGCTTATCGCATGCCTGTTTGGCGTCGTGAACGTCTTCGTATACAACAAATGCGGTGCCTTTCGAGTTGTTGGCGATTCCCTGACGTATTTGCCTGCACCCCAGAAAGGTTAGTCCTTGCGCAACTCGATGAATCCAGGTATCCTCGAGCAATGCCTTACCGAATGGGCCCGAACTTGCCGAAAAGGTCGAACAGTTGCTCAGCAGTTACGTTGTAGCTGGATCGAAATATAGTGATTAGCCTATAGCTTCCAGGCGATTGAGGTCGGTATCGTTTGATCCCACGAGTCTGGGAGCTCTGCGACGGCCTACGAGTGGCAAAAAAAAGAAAAAACGTAGGGGGCATACTTGAGGTTCTTGACAAAGAGAATCCTGGTCAAAAATTAGCACACGGCACTAAAGATCGCGGATGATTTCATCCAGCCAACGCGTTGACCCTAGAGGGCAGAGATCGGGGTCGATCAAGGAGGGGCAGAATTGTTCGACGAGACGAAGGGCAGGAACTTACCGATTGGCTTCGGGGGCGAGCTTTCGGCTCATTCTCAGGTGGGACGGTTATGGTCCAGGGAAAGGATTCGGGGATAGAGGAAGGATGTCAAGCCGATAACCCAACGGGGCTTGGGACAGGTCAGGATCGAAGGGAGAGGAGAACCAGAGGGAAAGGGAGGAAAGAGAGATGTAATTATCCGCGATGAGCACGAGGTCGGAACGGGGCCTGCCCAGTCCCGTTTGGGTTTAGCCGTCCGCCGGGAGCCTCACTTGGTCGTTTGTCCGCGAGGGAACGAACTGGTCTTCAAGTTGTTCGAGTCGGCTGGCTCTTGGACTCTTTGGGGGGTCCGGGTGCCAGTCGGGGAGGGGGGACAGATTCCTGGATACGATCTGTGATCGTGATCCCCGAGAGATCGTACTCTGCCATCCTGCTCAGCACCAGACCGACCGAGCGGCCGCAAACGACCGGCCGGACGAGATGGCAGCCTGAGGCACCCAGGCCATCCCGCCCTTTCGCTCTCTCTCTCTCTCTCTCTCTTCCTCTCGCTCTCCCTCTTCCTCTCCCTCTCTCGCTCCCTCCCTCTCTTTCCCACCCCTCCTCCTCTCGCTCCGCTTCCACCCCATCCGGCCCGGATGGCGCCTTAGTCCTCAATCGTTGGATTTCTCCGATCTCATTGCTCGCCCCGGTCAATCCCCTCCCTGTCGCGCTCGACCTCTCGCCCGCACCCGCGCTGCCTTCCTCGGTGCTGTGCCACTAGCCCAGCCCGGCCGGCAGACTCAACCCCCTCAAACCTCCTAACGTTCCGCCGTGCGACTCTCCTCCGTCAACCTCTTCGCTTCACCTCGCCCCTCCGCCCATCCCGATTCACCCATCCCCAGTCTCCTCTATCTGTCGTGCGCCGTGTATTCTGCCAGGAATGACTCTCCTTTTGCTTGCGGTGGCCTCTCTCTAGCCCGCGTGGTCGAACAATCCCCTCCCCGCTTTGCATCCTTTTGCCGCACGCCTTGTCTGCTCCTTCGGTCCCATTCTTTTCTCTCCTCCTCTCCTTCATCCATCGGTCCCCGTACCTCCGGGGGCCTCTTCGCATCCTTACAATGATCAGCGCTACCTCCTTCTTGAATCACTCGGCCGCCCGACCGCCGCGGTATCGCACTCCTTCACCTCCGCGACGCGCCGTCGAACCAATTTCACCATGTACTACCTCCGACGCCCGTGTCTCGTGGGTTGACTGCGCCGTGTCTAAAGCTGCGAGCTCCGACGGCAATCGATACCCTACAAACAATGGTGGATATGCCACGACTGCCGACGCCGCACATCATCGGTCGAGCCATGGTCGATCCAGCTCGACCATCGACACCCTTGCGACGATTGCTCTCGCGACGAGCCCACCTTTCGCGCCCGTCTCTTATCGACCCCCCTCCCAAAACTCCGCCCCCTCCATGCCTTTGTTTCCCCCGGAGCCCGCCGAAGCTGAAGAACGCCCAGCTAAGCGGCCACGGTCGGAGAAAGATCCTTCGCCGCTCTATCCACCCCAAAATAACTCGATACCCGATCCCAATGCTCCCTCGACTTTTGATAGCATGAAGACCGATGCGGAGCTTCTACTGAATTTCGCGCGGCCTTCGAATTTTTATTTCCCTTCGTCGAAGCGAGTCAGCATTGACGAATCATATCACCCTCAAGGGAATGACTTAGATCCCCATCTTGCCATCGGGTTTGGCGTTGCGGGTTTGGAGCCGAAGGAAGAAGGTTCTGCACATAATGTCCCTACCTCAAACAATATACCGCCGTCGCGTATGAGGTCACGGTCCGATGGCTCAGCCGTCGCCTCTCGGCCAGTGCACCATGGCGTGCGACCGAGCACCAGTTCTTCTACGCTTCCGCCCTTCATGCCGGAAGAAGATGGTGGAGGGAGACACTGGGGTTCGATCACGAAAGAAATATCGAACGATACACAACTTTGCCCCGGAAGTTCTGGTGCGATGGGAGCTCGCATTGATCAATTACCGATCAGCCTATCGTCCAAGGTGGAGGACGACACAGAATCCGAGGTTACCTCTAGCCAGGCTACCTGCGCTGCTTGCAATCTAGTTCGGATTCCAGTCGATACGGGCGAGTACGGCGATGTCACCTGGATCAGTTGCGATGGTTGCAAGCGATGGTTTCACATTGTCTGTGCGGGGTTCAAAAATGACCGCGAGATTCGGACCGTCGACAAATTCATCTGCCGAGGGTGTCGGCCTGTACATGGACAGACCACCTTTGTTCGCAAATCATCTCGCGCCCGCACTGCCATCGATTACGCGGGACTCAACCAGGGACTGGTTAAGACTGCCACGGACTCGGTAGAGCATCACTATCTAGAACCTATACGACAGGGCAAAATTCAATTTCTTGCGGAGAGTTTCCCGCGCATGCGCCCAGAACTTGTCACGGCCGAATATTTTGAACGTGGCAGTGGCATGACGGAGCCAATTGTCATTCCCGCCCATATGAACTCTCGGGCGCCGATCTCTGCCGGCGGCCCTGAATATGATCTCCTCGTCCAGGAAGCTCCTACCCAGGAAATGTTCGACGAGCTGCTGGAACATGTCCCCGACGAAGACCAGAATTTTGAGCGGGTGCTGGATTGCGGCCAAGACCAGTTGGACATGGTGATCCCCCAGGGCCTCACGACCAGGGCTGTGGCCGAACTCTATGGCCCCGAGGAACGAGTGGAGGTTATCGATGTCAAGTCTCAACAGGGAGAAGACAAAAGGTGGACCATGCAAAAATGGGCTGACTACTACGAAAGCTCTGGATCAAAGATTGTTCGGAATGTCATTAGCTTGGAGGTGTCGCAAAGCAGACTGGGTAGGCTGATTCGCCGGCCCAAGATTGTTCGCGATCTTGACCTGCAGGACTCAGTCTGGCCAGACGAACTTAAGGCTGTCGGCGACTACCCTAAGGTGCAGTTCTACTGCCTGATGTCCGTCGCTAACTGCTACACTGACTTCCATGTTGATTTCGGTGGATCTTCGGTTTACTACCACATTCTAAAGGGCAAGAAAACCTTTTTCTTCATCCCACCTAAAGACAAACACCTCAAGAAGTACGAAGAATGGTGCAATTCTCCTGCCCAGGACTCTACTTTCCTTGGCGATCAAACCAAGGAGTGCTACCGCGTTGATCTTTCCGAAGGCGACACCATGTTGATACCGTCTGGATGGATTCACGCCGTGTGGACCCCCGAGGATAGTCTAGTCATCGGTGGCAACTTCTTGACGAGGTTGAACTACGGGATGCAGATCAAGGTCGCCAAAATCGAAAAAGATACCAAGGTCCCGCGGAAGTTTAGGTATCCGTTCTTTCAGAAGATCCAGTGGTACACCACATTAAAATACCTGGAGGATGACCCGATCCCTCAGAGCGTGCTAGATGCCTTCGCACAGGACGAAAATTACCGCTTCCATAGGGATTATCCCATTTACTACGAATTCGGCGAACGGGAAAATACAGCGCCCGCCGGATCCCCCTATCATAACTCACGCTTCTACTCCCAAGCGGAGCTCGAAGGTCTACTAGACCTGGCCAAGTATCTGCTCCGGACCGCTCTGATCGCAGGCTCGTATATTGTCGAAGGCGTGACGATGGACGCAAGAAATGCGATCAAACGGTCCATACCCAAGGGTGCAGGGGACCCCGTCGACACGGTCAGAAAATTCGGAATCTGGGTTGCGTGGAAGCGCGGGAACGAAAAGGCAGCGCAATGGACACGCCCCGGTGCCGTCGAAAGCAATGCTAAACTCAGCCTGACGGACAAGAAGCCCGCCGGGCGCCCTAGCCGTCGCTCCGAGCGAAATGTTGACAGCCAGCGTATGTATACCGAAAGACAAGCGGTGCAGCGACTTCCAGAGCAATCCCGCGAGCTCGAGAATGGATTCGTTAGCACCGGTGACTCCGTCTCCTCCAACAGCGGCGTTTCCGTTTCTGCCCCCTTGTCTTCGAGCAGCGTTGCACGGGAAGAGACTGCCCCGAAGCCCCGGACTGTGCCTCGCGGATCTGGGTTAGGCCCGAAGCGAGTTGCTTGTGATGCTTGCCGCAAACGACGCATCCGATGCCACCATAAGGATGACCAGAGTGATATGATTTCCGCAAAACAAATAATGGTTGGTGCTTTCGGTCCGTCAAGTCAGTCCTCTTTGGCCCATGACGCTGCATCTGCATTAAATTCCCTCGCAGCCATCGCTTCAGAGGCTGGCTTCCAAGACAATCATGGCAGGAATCACGATGGATTCGAAGCCGCAGGAAAATACAGCTCGGGGACATTAGGAACACCCCATTCAGTTGCACATAGGCTTAATGATATGAGTCCTGATGGATTAGGCCACGGAAAGAAAGGGCGTAGCAAAGCCTGTGATGATTGTCGAAAAAGCAAGGTTTGTATCCACGTTAACTCCCTCATATACGCGATCTAAAATATTAATGTTCTTGCAGCGCCGGTGCATTCACGATGAGTATGGAAGAATCGACCCCGTCAAGGCGCAGGAGCGGTCGAAGCCACGAGCTGCGGCCTCCGCCAAACGACCACGGCCCCACGATGAAGGTCTTGTATCCACGGCAAATAAAAGACCCAAGCAAGAAAACAGTACATCTCCTGTGACCAGGCCGGCGCACCTTAGCCGAGAGGATGAGGCATCCAGCAATCAAGCTTTCCAGCCACCGGTCCATGTTCAGAGACATACTACAACCGACCATGCCCCACTGACGGATTTCCAGCATGCGAGCAAGACGCCCTTGCATCAGTCGAGGATGATGTCGGCAGAAAAGGAGGCACAAGTCGATCAGTCCTCATATGCCTCGCCGCCGGCTTTCCAGACGGATCCAGTTGTTGCCAGAGAAATAAACGCAGACTCCATGTCGTCTAAACCTGCCGCTTCGCTCGTGTCCCCACCAACTTCCCTGGCCGACGAAACCGACGTCCCCCATGAGCATGTCGACGGGGATGGCGAACACACCGCAGTCCTACACACTCCTACGTCTAGTTCCCGCCATTCCTCCCGCCAGCCTCGCCACGTTGACCGATATGTGCCCGAAGTCCATATCATCAAGAACACGAAGCCGCCATCAACCCACACCCCAGCCGCGCGACGCTCGTCTTTCAGTGCATTGAGCGCCGCTACGCGCAAAACCACGCCGGGTCCGTCCTCAGGTTCGAAGAAATCCTCTTCACGTCCCTCGTCATCACACACGAAGAAGGCCTTTTCTCCCGCGGCAGAAAAGAGGCTTGACCGTCCTGCCCCTTCTCCTGACGGCATCAAGAATCCGAAACGTGAGCGAGGAACCGTTGCTGACGAGGAACCGGATGCTGAGAGCCTACGTCTCATTCGCGAACTACAAGAGCAAGAATTCGGTCTGCGGAAACGAGCAACTCGCGTGTGAGGTAAAACGAGTCAATTTGTATGAGGTCGCGTACTTTTACGGGTTACGATAATACTCTTCTTTCTTTCGCGCTCCTTTAGACTATGTCAACCGGGCAACCCAAATAGCTTGCTACAGAGCGACTCTGACGGAGCTTCAGTGACTCTTTTTTCCCCTTCTTTTCTTTTCTTTTACCTTATACCGCCAACCTTTTTTCCTTGCTATTTTTGATCCTTTCTTTTCCTTTCGTTTATTTTGGAATGCGGAGTTTGAGAAGAGGGGAGTTCGTGCGGAAACTTGGGGGTTTGAACTCTTTTTGGTCTTTGACGCTTTTTTTTTTTTTAAATTTCCTTTTATTTACATGGTTTATTGGGCGTTTAATGAACAGGCCGGGCTTTCATTTGTCCTAGGGCCGTTCCTTTGCATCGATTTCTCTCGCGTTTTTCAATCCTTCAATTATCGAAGCATGCTTTTTCGAGCTTTGCGTGTCGATTCCGTTTGGCGTTCCAGAGTTGTACGTGGGGAATTTCCTGGTCAGACCGTTGACCTTCCGAGACATTATTTACTTTTGCTCATCGGTTCATCATTTCACCTTTTCTTTTTCTTTTCTCTCTATCTCTTTTCCCCTCAATATCCTTGTTCTCTGTACTCGTTCTCTCTTGCCATTTGTCTTGGTCAGTACGTACGGAATCACTTGCTATGTTCTTGTAATGGGCTTGAGTTGAATTAACGGCATTCCCCTTTGGCTTCTTATTGCTTCGTTAGGGTTCTCTGCTGGCGCTTTTGTTGATTTTTTTCAAGCTTCCCTCTATCTATCCCTGGCCTAGGGAGAAGGGGTGAGCCGACATGTTTTTTTCGAATTAATAATACCCCGGAATTTTTTTTATATATCATTGGTGATGCCATCGACCTTATTTGAGCTGGTAGTCTGTACTTTCGTCGTGTCTGTCTTGCGAGTTCTGTTTTTGTAGGTTTTTTTTATTGCTCCATCGTTGTGTTTCAGATAGGTGAAGTCTCGATATTACAAACAGATGTAGTGGTCTTTATCTATGCAGATGTTATCAGGACTTAAATCACATGCATTCATAATTCCGGTTAACATGGAAAAAAGAACAAAATAAAAGGAAATCTTTCCCCATAACATAAAAGTCATGGATCTCGTCAACCGACATGTAGCTCTAATTCCATCCTCAGAGTACTCGCCGGGAGTTCAAGGAAGACACGGATTAACACGTAACTCATGGGGTATATGTATCCTATACGGTGTATCTTAATAGCAGCCGAAACTCTCTAGGACAAGAAACCGAGTCATCACAGAGAAAGAAGCACAAGAATAGAGATATCAATAACGATAACAATAGCAGCCCCCAAACGCCAAAACCCCTCTGTATGTTTATCATCACGGCAGACGCTCGTCACTCAAACCAAGCTTTCTGTCCCGGACCCGAAGCTGCTCCAGCGCTTGGCCCGTTTCTTTTCCCCTATGTAGTTCTTGATCACACACGTATCCCCATCGGGGCCCTGGCAGACTTTGCGGCGATTGAGATGCTTAAATCGAGGACCCAACGGCCCATTCACGTAATGATATTGGCCCGCAAAGCGGTACTGCCGACGATCCCCCAAGGGATAGAATTTGTCGCCCCAATGACCGTTGAAGTAGAACCATTCCGTGGGCGCGTCAGGACTTGTGGTGGACGCACGTAGTGTATCGCTGTCGTAGTCATATGTATAGGCATGAGAATTCAGCAAAGGATCCCAGAGCGGACCACGATCTGTCCGGTCGTGGAGGAGACCCCAAGGAAGAATGTAAGAGTGAACTCCCGGGGTCGCATACATGGCATGAGTACCGGTCGCCGAATAAATTACAGGCTATTGGTCCAAGGGTTAGCATTTCAAATTTGCGTGTCGCCCATGCAGCTCTTACCCGATCCCCAATCTTTTCAACGGCCTCATAGCTATACGCCTCCCCAGCAGAGTGAGCACTGAAGAAGAGCGCTTTGGGTTTCCCATAGTGAAATCGTACGAGACAGTGCTCCCAATCACCGACATGATTCCCAAATCGCACGTTGAGAACCACATTTCCCAAATTAAAGCTGTAGAAATAGAACCAAAAGGCGTCGACAATACCGTTGCCTTTGTCCATAACGAGCAGAACAGCCGGTGCTTCGCTACGGCCTCCAGTCACCTGCATGCGAACCGGCTCCCCGCCGTAGCGCTTTCGCAGATCATCCCGGACTCCCTCATCGGCCAGAGGATCCTCAGCATTTAAGTAGCCAATATCTTCAGGGGCGAGGTCTTCTTCGCTCGTTGGAAGCGCATTCGTGTCATACCATTTGGCTCGTTCAGCCGGCGAGTCACCAGGGATTTCCCCGTCCACACGACCGTCCCAGTCGGCCCAGGACTGCTCTAAGTCATCCTCAGGTGAACTAGGTATGTTTTTCTCTCCTTCGATCCACGGCGGACGATCTTCAACATTGTCGTCGCTGGTCAGAAAGACGTAGCGCCCCTTCTGCCACTGATTCAACTGATCAAGGTCCTGGAGCGTCGGATGCTCCCATCGCGACTGGACGGGGGTGTAGTTTAGCATCGGCGTGGTGTGGTAGAGATGCTCGGCGATATCGCAAGGCCAGAATTGTTCGCCCGAGAAAAGATGGACCAAAGGTGCGTATTGGAAAACATAGTCAGGGATCTCCCGGCGATGTCGCTCCGTCTCATCCCACGAATGGTCTGACTGGTTGGCCCCATTGAGCCAGAAGGCCCGCCAAGAAGCCGGCTCGGCCGGATCCCCCGAAGTTGAGGTCTCCGGGGCGGGCCTCCGCTGGCCGAAGTAGGGGCGCACCAGCCGGAAGTGCGTGGTGCCGCAAGCTCCGAGCCACCGACAAGCTTTCCGGTCAACCCACGAGCGAGACGAGGCGATCCAGCGCGACTCGTCGTTATCCTCGTCGTACCAGATGAATGCCGCAGGATTGATCGCCCGGATTAAACTATTGACAGAAACATAGGTGATCAAGGAAGAAAGGATGACGATAGCGGCGGTCGTTTTTCGCACCATCTGTTGGTAGGAATTGGGCAGCACGGTGAGATCGGCGGCAGAGGAGAGCGGCTGACAAGGAACGGTCAGGCTGACCTCTCCAGATTGGGCAGCCGCAGTGGAAAGAGTGGGAGCAGCTTTCGCGATCGCGACAGCACTGCCGGGCACGACAGACTTCCCAATCGGGACAGCCCCAGGGCAAAAGCCGGGCGGAGCTGAAGGAGAAGCTGGAAGGGGAGTAGAGGGAAGAGGAGCATGCGACAAGCTAGGCTCCAGGAAGAAGAGAGTGAGGAAGAGGCAGCAGAGGAGGCAGGAACAGAGGGAGAGGAAACGAAAGCCAAAGAAGCGGGCAACCAGGCCCGGAGAAGGAGGAGGGAGCACTATAAGAGGAAGGGACGCGCGCACGAAGGCATTGGCCGTCAGCGGTCGAGAACAGCAGCATGACTGAAAAGACTAACTCAGGACTATGAACTAGCAGGAATTGTCCAGTGAGAAAGAGAGACCGGGAGGGACGGAAGGGGATTAGATAATGTGGGAAGGAATGAGAGGTGCAGATTATCGGCGACGAATGCGTCCTGACAGGGCTGCGATCAGCCCGCCTTCCGCGCGCTGCCGGATCGTCGGTGGCAAGGATTTGAAATCGGACGGTGGGTGATGAGTGATGCACTGATGACAGATGACTATGGAAGCAGGCGGGACTTACTTGGAGAGGGGTGGGGGGTGGGGAGAGAGCTAGCTAATTTAATTGAAGTTTAATCAGGAATGATGGAATGATGGAATGATGGAATGGTAGAGAGAATAGGATTAAATAGAATCAATAGATAGATAGATAGATAAGACGGTCAAACAAAGAGAGGGGGAACTAGTTTAGCTTGCCTGGGTCAACCAAGCTTGAGAGTGGAACTGGGGGATCAGGCAGGGGAGGGAGTACGGAGTACTCCGTGAGAGCAAGGAGTCGTCAAGGACAAGAAGAACGAAGATGGATGATGAGATCATTGATCATTCACTCCCGGGGCTACAGGGCTGACCGACTTCCGTAGACCCCGAGTTGTTGACCGGGGAAGAAGAGTGAGAGTAATGAAAGAGAAAAGAAAGAAGGACGAAGATGATGCTGGGCGTGTTTGTTTGTTTGTCTTTCCACCAGGATCACGGGACCGAACCGCATCCGTCGGGCTTAATTCCGTTATCTCCTGTCCCGCCTCCCGTTCTTTCTTCCCTCACACCCATGCATCAATCCATCCTTCCATGGCTTCCATACATCCCCCTGACCCCGTCTTAGTCTTGGATCCGGCCATGTTGCCGGATCCTGCTTTTGCCGCCGAAGATGACTCCGATTATGAATATGAGTATCACGATCACGAAACGGAGGTTAGTCTCCGCGGCGCATGGTTCCTCGATCGAGCTCCCCGCTAACAGAAAGCACCCCGGCGTCTCTCCCCGCGCAGACCTTCTATCTCACTCTAGACCTAGCGTCAAACCAGACTATGGGCCGACCCTCAAAACGACGTCAAGAGTCGCAATCGGCTACTACCGCCGGTGCCCTACCGACAGATCCTTCGCACGGTGACAGCAACGAGCCTGCGCTGGCCAGCACGGAAATCGACTCAAACCCCGAAGAGCGCGTGCAGATCCTTGGCCTTCATACCCCAAATCCGATCGTTTCCTACAGGAACCAGATCTTTAATTGTGCCTGGGCCGATCAAATTGGCACCGAGCTCCTCTTCGCACCTCCCGAAGTCGATGCGGGCTTGGAGCCCGTGACGCCGACAAACCCGCTGAGGCGCGGGAAAGATTTTGATCTGATCGCGGCGAATAGCGTGAAGATTCTCGGACGCAAGGCCAACCTCATCTCCAGTACTGGGCCTCCACCACCAGTGGAGCCGTTGGATACCGAGGCAGCACCGGACGCGGACCCCGCAACGGCCCGCAAAACAGGCGTTCTCTCGAATCAGGCCCGCTTCCTAGAGCGGCTTCAAAGCATCAAGCAAGCCAAGGGCGAGACCGATACTATACGCAGTTCCTTCAGTTTACGGCGGAATCAGAACCTCGAGGAACGGTTACGCGGGTGGGCGCAGACGGACGAGCAGCTAGCAGATATCCAGCGCCTCAACGAGGAGGCTATTCAGGGAAATACCACTGCAATGGCGGACCTAGAGAACTTGTGCATTCAACTTGGGTCCCAAGATCCCGGGTTGTCCGGAGAGCCTTCCCAGTCGCGATGAGACGGATTCCTAGCTCTTCCGAACACCCGATTTTACGGGCATCATAGGCCCGGCACATTCGTTCCGCCGCCACGGATTGCTTAGCCTCCCGGAAGGGACTTGAGTGTATTGCCGGGTTTTGATTGCCGGCCAGCAAGCATGTCGACCACGTGATATCCAGCCGTTACTCCGGCCGAGGATGAAGAAGACGGAGGATAAGCCTTGGTGACGGCGATGATCGCATCACCTCGGGCCTCGCCTGGCCGCCCGAATATTGACCCACCTAGAAGAACCGGTTCTTCCTTGATGGGATGCACAGGAGTGGCGCCACCGGGGGTTCCGCTCTCGGCGAGCTAGGGGTACTAGTAGGGCTCAAGAATGCCCGCATGTGATTGACGGAATGCATACTTGGCATGGTCTCGTAGGCTGCTAATGTTGCCCGGCTGGCGCTATCTTGTGATTCTGATATACACCTGCTTTTATGGTCCTCCCATTCTGTATCATGCCCCTTCTAGGCTGATGAATTACTTCGAGAGGATTTGATTTCGACAAGATCTTCCGTTGCCACTCTGAATATTAATGTATCTTATACTATCTAATTAAAGCAATAGACGCCCAGTGACAAAAGAAAACAAACTTCAACCCAAAACCTGCTTTTCCCATCTATCCCATAACCGTGTAACCATGGATCCTGCAAAAGGCAACAAACTAGAGGAAACTTCACTCGCTCAAAATAAGGACAAAAAAATGAAACATAGTAGTAATCAAAGGGAGAGAGAACTGCCCGAGTCTCCTAACAGTCGCGTGGAAAGCTTTATCCGCATAAAAAAAACGAGATAACTCCTCCCATTGAAAAGCATAGCAAGGCAAAGGACAAAACTCGAAGACAGATGCGGCACGCATGTTGTACCAGGGCGAGTTCGAGCTAGGGAATAGCAATTCCATATCAAGCTCGATCACCTTCGACGGACCCCCAGAAGGTATGTGCATTCCTCGATTCGACAGGTGAAGGAGGAGGGGGCGGCGGATAACTCAGACCCATATGCGGATGAGGCTCAGGTTCGACGGACTTGGGGGGTTCCGTTGAGGCCATGATGGCACGGGAAATGTCCTGGGTAAATGTGGAAGGCGTGACGAGAGCCGGACGGGTAGGAGGGTGGGAGGCTATCGAAGAGGCCATTTTGCAACAGTTGAGGTGCCACGAAGAGGGTGTTTGTTGTTGTTGTATATTATAATTAATAGAGGCCTGTTCTTGGGCTGTGAAACGAGTTTGTTGAGCGATGGAAGAGAGGAAAGCCGGCTGCGTGCCTTGTCAGTCCCATGGTCTATATAGATAAGTTTTGCGACAGGCGGTTCCGGAAGTCCCCGACTGTAGGAAGGGAAGGAACCAGCAGCATGTGATGTAATCCGGCCTGGGGGGATTCCCCTTTGGAAGAGCTTCAGGAGTGAGGGATGAGAAGAACCTTAATCTCACCTCGGTAAAAAGAAAGTTGACAGGACCCCAAGTGATGTAATGATAGACGGTACGTATGAGAACAGGGATGATGCTTGTTGACTAACTAGGCAATGAATGAGGGTTTTCTCACGTCACCGGAGTAGAAGGCCCGAAAAGGAATGAAGCCTGGAAATATTGGAAGGGGGAGCAGGGAAGATCGGGGGAGAGCGTCCGGAAAAGGTAGACAGATAGTTATATGGTCTCAGGTCCAGGCAATTTGAGCCCAACATGAGTCCCTACGGAGTAGCTAAGTACGGTGTACGGAGTACGGAGTAGTAACGAGTCACCAAGGGAGAATTCTCTGTCATCCCCTTTTTGTGCCAACCAGGACTAGGAGGTTCTGGAGCATCGATCGTCAAGCGCCTCACTCTAATTTAGTTTCTGGCCCAGCAATCGGGTACCCATTCAGGGCAAGTGGACTTAGTACTCCGTAGTTGTAGGTACCTGCTTGCCATGACGACGGAGCGGCAGGGCGGAAACTGGGGAACAAACAGGCCGGGGAAATTGGGAACGGATGGAAGAAGGGATGAATTGTGGGGAAAAATACGTGTTGCAGTGGGCGAGGAATTCCGGGGTTTGAAGACTTGCTCTTCTGTTTTTAATTTTTCACTTTATATTCGTCTTCTATTGATTTTATTTTTCTATCTTTTCTGGTTTAATTTTCTGCCCCTTGAAGAGAGGAGGAGAGAGAGAGAGGAAAGAGGTTCGCTTCGTAGTTCCCCGGGTGGATAATATGAATACTAAATATAAGTATTCATCCGTACGACGCCGCCGATGCCTCCGTCACTAGTCGATTCTAGAACCTTTCCTAATTACCACCCAATGCTTTACCAGACCCTGAAGAACATGACTCGTCCAATCTCACGGGTATGAGTATGTTCGATGGCACCGCCACGCGCACTTAGTATCTGACCTGTCTCTCCTGCCCTGTTCATTCTACCCATGCCTGAAATGACCGAGGATCACCCCTGATTTGTTCTCTTGCCAGTGAGTGCTAGGCACGTCCGAAGTCTAAACGGACCCTTGATACCCTTGAAGGGCTCATCCTACGGTGTTTATCGACTGACGAATCGTGTCCCGCAATGACCACCACCCGGGAGGATCGTCTAATCGGGTGGATTTGGGCTGGCGATAACAAGATAACAACGTCTTGTGACTGAGAACTACACCCGCCTGGCCAGCAGCGAGCTTTCTGCGAGATTATGCTAGGTGGCATGCGAACAATGACCTGTCACCCGCCAAACAACGGGCGAATCGGTGTGTTTTGGCCCAATGGAAGAGCCGCGGTGAAGAGGCTGACGCGCCAGCGACTTCCAACTGCTCGAAGAAGGACGACAGGCATCATTCTTGAACACCTATCTTATCTAGCAGCCCGATAACCCTACTACGTACTCCGTACATTGGCCATATTCTGATCTATCGGTCCACTCGTTGCAGTGCCAGCTGCCGAATCAGGAGGGGGGCGGTCCTATCGCACGGCCACCCAAGACAGGGTACAGGTTTCAACTCATCAAACCGACTTGTGTAGGGATGACTGACTACTGACTAGCAGTGACTTCCCTTTCATTTTTCACCCTGTGGTCTTTTATGCCAAAGCCGGCGTCTGGTCTCTTGCGTGATCACTGATCAGCCTTGGCGAGGATGGAAATGTTGGAGAAGTACAAAAGCGGATCTTCAGCGAATTACCTCATAGAATCCCTTGGAGACGTCGTACCATGTCTATACAGTACAGACATAGTACATGGTATCTGACATCTACTTGAGCCTTGAATTCTACTGAATCGGTAGCCAATAACTCCAACTCCATCCACCGACCCCGCTTTGGAGTCCAGAGTCGAAAGACACCATTACGAATTTACGATATAGAATAATAAGACCCCAAGGAGGACCGTGGGGCAGGGATACCGAGACCCGATGGAAAAGCCGGGGTTATTCATGGTTGCGGGTTGGAAATGCGCCATTTTTAATAATGAAAACTGGACGTTGAGGCGGCCATCGGGACGGGCGAAAAACAAAGGGACGACTAACCAGGGCGGGATCACCCCGCAAGCCACTAGGAATGAAAGGAGGATAGGCTGTGATCCAGGTATGGGCAGGGAATATGGAGTAGGTATGGATATTGTTGAGAACTTGGGAACTGGGGAGTTTGGGGGACGCCGGGATCGACCAGGAAACCCCGCACTCTCGATGAAATCTCTGTCAAGGCGAGTCTGGGGTCGATGGCTTCGGCTGGGTTCCGGGGAAGTCCCATGGGTATAGAATATCAACAGAGTAGTATCGACGAGATATACACATCTGGACTTTATACGGAGTACACGGTAGTATATCGCATGAGATGGTCGATGGTAGATGCAGATGTACCCCGTATGCGAGTCTCTGACCGTCTCTGGCATCTCTGACAGGCAATGCACTGTACCGCTAGACGCCATGTCCGGGGATATGTCGCAACTTCTCCCTCCAGGAGAATTACGAAATTGAGGCATTTTCGCAACCCGCAATGATTTCTTATTACGCAGGAGAAACCTGCAGAAAGAATTGCATGGGAGCATGGGCGGCGATGATTTGCAGGGCACCAGCCACGATGACACACCAAAACGCGTGCGCCCAAACTTCCAGCCTTACTAAGTGGGACCCTGGCGAGAGTATTTACGGAGTATGTTTTACGGAGTAGGGAGTTACTGTTAGAGACTTCATAGAGGGTACGATTCAACGTGAGCGACAAATAGTAGACAACGACGGTGTACCTGGAAATAGTCGGTATCCGTCCCCCATATGGGACCGTCTATGCGAGAGAGCACAGCAGTCGGGAGGCAAAAGAATAAATATAAAAGGATCCTTCCAAAATTAGCCGGGGGCGGCCAATCACGTCGTCGCAGTGCGGTATTTTCCATAGCCACTAGTCCGGAGGAGGAAACCCATGTCTGGGATCGAGAATCGACTGGTACCGGGTACTTCTGGCTGCGTAGGGAGCTGCGTAGAGGAGGCAGTACCTGCTACCTTGGGGACAACGGTCTTCTCTAAGGATGTATGAGGACTTTGTAGACGAATCTGAGAGGGAGGATATTCTCATGCGTGATATACGGAGCAATTCGTAGGTCAAGGTGTACATACACTGAACAGTACACACTGTACGCAGTACATGTACGGACTCCCGTATTACGGCTCCAATTCCAAGGCCCACTTTGTGGTGGCGGATCAGCGATTCGAGACTCTTCCTGAGTCCTGGAGGCCTTGAGTGACTGAGTCCTTTGACTGCCCCCCGGACCGGTCCCGTTCCTGGCCGATCGCATAGCACCGGGTATGATCTCACGCTCAGAACGAGGAAGGCAAGTATTGAAGTATAAAGAGTGCCGCCCTCCGCCCATCGGTCTAGGGTTTTGTGCTTGACACATCCTCATTTCAAATCACTATTTACTATACTTCCCCTTCTTGGATCGAGCTGTCTGTATAGCTTCGTCCAATGGAACCCCGCTTCCTCCACCGATAGATCCATACCCTGAATTGTCCTCTTCTTTCTTCCGGTGACGTGTCGGTCGCATGGCTTTGCAGCGCTGATTGATTCCCGCATATTCACTTATCTACGAGGTACGTTCCATCTGTCTGCCTAAGTCCACCAATTGCCCGAGCTCCCGTCCTTCCCTTTCTCTGCTCATTCGTCCTTGCTTCACCGTCGTTTCTTTTTCTTTTTCTTTCTTGTCCCATTTTTTTTTTCTTCTTCTCGCCTTTTCCCTTGGTTGTTTCTCCCCCCTCTCATCTCTCACTGCAAGCTTCCATCCTGAACTTGCCCCACCCTCCCGTTCTTCCTTTTCTCTATCTGCGCCACCATCCATCCGTTCGGCTCCCATGACTCACGCGCTTCTTCTCTCATGTTTCTAGATTCCTATATATACACCCTCCTACGCTTCTCAATTGCTCTCTCCTCATAGACTCACGCCCCGCATTCTCTCTACCTTTTCGCCATGGTATCCCCCGCATCGACCCCGCAGTCCGAGGGGCAGCTCAATGGTAGCAACACCCTCCCCGTGCGCCCCGGTCCCAAGCTCTACGGCAGCAACGATGGCTCTCATTCTGGCGCTGGAACCCCCATTGGCTTCCAGCGTCACCCTCACAACAAAATCCTTGACAATGTAGCCGGCTCAAGCGTGCGCCACCCGTCTCCCCAGCCCACCCATCTGGGTATCCCCGGCGGCGGCGTGCACCGGGTTCTATCCGAGGAAGACCCGGGCTACGTTGCCGCCAAGTTCGAAGGCAAGGAAAAGCAGATGGAACAAGGTAAGGACCCCCTTCCGTGCCGTGAATTGCGGTCTCTTTGAGTATGATCTCTAACGTTTGGCCTGCAACTGTAGTCATGGATCAGCTGGAGGGCAAGGGCTTTATCCCCAGTGAATTTGTCGTTGGTGAAACCGAATGGTTCTACAACCAGCTGGGAATCGATGATACCTATTTCCAAACCGAGACGGTCGATGCCATTGTCACTCAGATCCTCTCCCTCTATGCCGCCAAGGTTGCCGCTTATGCCCGTGACGACAAGAAGCTGGAAATCCGGCTGGACAAGGAGGCTGAGGATCACGCCGTTTATATTGACACCAGCAAGCCCGGCGTGTCGTCCGTCGGAGGCCCTCGTTACGAGCAGAGAATCGACCAGAAGTATATCAACGGCTCGACTCCGGATAACAGCTACCGAGTCGAGACTTTCCGCTCGCCCACGTCCATGCCCGGTGACGACGGCCAACAGCTCCGATGCTACTTCGTGTACAAGTGCCAGTTTGCAAACCCTAACCCGGGCCCCAACGAGACCAATATCGATATCATCGGTGAGAAGCGATTCTTGCAGAAGGCCACGGCCAATACCAAGGCCCTCTACCAGGAGATCATCAGCAACGCCGTTGCCCGGTCCGGCCCTGTCATCGAGATGTTTGAAATCGAGAAGAGCCGCGAGAAGCGCCTGGTCATTGCCTACCGCCAGGGCTCTGCCATGGGTCTCTTCAGTGCGCTGTCCGACCTGTATCACTACTACCGTTTGACCAGCTCGCGCAAGTACCTGGAGAATTTCTCCAACGGCATCACGGTCATCTCGCTCTATCTGCGCCCGTTGAAGGATGTCGAGATTACAGCCAAATACCCTCCCATCGAGGCGGCCATCCACCAGATCATCAAGGAGGTCTCTCTCCTCTACTGTATCCCCCAGAACCGCTTCCAGCACCACTTTGCCGTCGGTCGTCTTAGCTTGCAGGAGACGATCTATGCGCACTGTGCGTGGGTGTTCGTGCAACAGTTCCTGAACCGACTGGGCTCGGAGTACACCTCTTTGACCGACCTCCTCGACTCGAACAACAGCGTTCATGCAGAGCTTTTGGCCAAGATCAAGAAGCGGCTGCGTACCGAAACGTTCACCTCCGACTACATCTCGGAGATCGTTAACAAGTACCCCGAGCTCATCCACAAGCTCTATCTGGACTTTGCCAACACGCATTACGTGCAGACGCGTGGTCCCGCCGAGGATGATTTCCTCCCCACCCTGAGTTATCTTCGCCTTCAGGTCGACGAGGTGCTGGACGGAGCCCGGCTCAAGCAACTCATCTCGAGCTCCGTGGCTAATGAGCACGACGAGATGGTCATGAGTGCTTTCCGCGTGTTTAACAGCTCCATCCTGAAGACCAACTTCTTCACCCCCACCAAGGTCGCCCTTAGCTTCCGACTGAACCCTGACTTCCTGCCGGAACACGAGTACCCCCAGCGACTCTACGGAATGTTTTTGGTCATCAGCTCGGAGTTCCGCGGCTTCCATCTGCGTTTCCGTGACATCGCCCGTGGCGGCATCCGTATGGTCAAGAGCAGGAATAACGAAGCATACAGCATCAACGCTCGCTCGCTATTTGACGAAAATTACAACTTGGCCAACACCCAACAGCGCAAGAACAAGGATATCCCCGAAGGCGGTGCCAAGGGTGTGATCCTTCTCGACGTGAACCATCAGGACAAGGGCCGCGTCGCTTTCGAGAAATACATTGACAGTATCCTGGATCTTCTGCTTCCCCCGGTGAGCCCCGGTATCAAGGACCCGATCGTTGACTTGCACGGTAAGGATGAGATCCTCTTCATGGGGCCAGACGAGAACACGGCCGAGCTGGTCAACTGGGCCACCGAACACGCCAGGAGCCGAGGTGCCCCGTGGTGGAAGTCCTTCTTCACGGGCAAGAGCCCCAAGCTGGGTGGCATCCCCCACGATACCTACGGCATGACTACCCTGTCCGTTCGCCAATATGTTCTCGGTATCTATCGCAAGCTGAACATCGACCCCTCCAACGTCCGCAAACTGCAAACCGGTGGCCCCGATGGAGATTTGGGTTCGAATGAGATCCTTCTCTCCAACGAGAAGTACACTGCCATTGTGGATGGATCTGGTGTCATTGTTGACCCCCAGGGCCTGAACCACGAGGAGCTCGTGCGACTGGCCAAGAAGCGAGTGACCATCTCGGAATTCGACGTCTCGAAGCTTTCTGGCGAGGGTTATCGCGTGCTGGTTGACGAGAGTAACGTGAAACTGCCGAGCGGCGAGCTGGTTCACAACGGAATGATCTTCCGTAACACCTTCCACCTGCGCCCCGATCAACCGTACGACATCTTCGTGCCCTGCGGAGGCCGACCCGAATCCATCGATCTCTCCACCGTCGGACGACTGATCCAGGACGGCAAGTCGATTGTCCCGTACATCGTGGAGGGTGCCAATCTGTTCATCACCCAAGACAGCAAGCTTCGACTCGAGCGAGCTGGCTGCATCTTGTTCAAGGACGCCTCCGCCAACAAGGGTGGTGTGACGTCATCGTCCCTCGAGGTCCTGGCGTCTCTCTCTTTCGATGACAAGGGATTCGTGGAGAACATGTGCATCGGTGAAGATGGCAGTGTGCCAGCGTTCTACGGTGATTACGTGCGACAGGTGCAGGAGGTCATCAAGCAGAACGCTACGCTTGAATTCGAGGCCATCTGGCGCGAGCACCAGGAGACCGGTCTCCTGCGCAGCGTGCTCAGTGACCGACTTAGTGTGGCCATTACCAAGCTCGACGAAGAGCTGCAGGAGACTGAATTGTGGGAAAACGTCGACCTTCGCCGCTCCGTCCTGGGCGACGCCCTGCCGAAGCTGCTCTTGAACAAGATCGGTCTGGAAACCATTCTTGAGCGGGTGAGTCTTTCCCTTTTTTGCTGGTGACGTGGAGAGCTCATAGACTGACCAATGCATCCACAGGTCCCCGAAAACTACTTGCGGGCCATCTTCGGCAGCTACCTTGCCAGCCGCTTTGTCTACGAGTACGGCAGCAGCCCGTCTCAATTCTCATTCTTCGATTTGTAAGTCTGCCGATCAACTGGGTTTCCGTCCTCTAGCTAACCAATTCTGTTCCACAGTATGACCAAACGTCTTGCTCTGGCAAAGGCATAATTTAGTAAACCCAAAAGAGCGATGACCGACGACGTGATGTTTCTTCGATACATGGATATTGCATCTACACCTTCCGGGCTTGTTTCCTATACATGACTGCACTGCACAATCTGCAGTGTTCTACATATTAATTATGATTGTCGTCTAGTGCATGGCGTACAGTAAAGTCAAAATCAGTTCAAAGAGATATACAATAGATTAGCAATTAAATTCTCCTGCAATCCTCGATGAGATTTTGGTAGTACGGCATGTCGTTCAATCGGCACCCCCAGAAGTAGTTTGAGCGTGGCTTGTAGGCTTTTGCTCTGATAGAGAAGATTGATCTGTACCAGACAGGCATGGTGAAGAGGGAAGCGAGGATACTGGAAGACGATCTGTTATACGTAGGTAGAAGTGCTGTTATTGATACATGTTTGTCACGGTTCGCCATTATATACGACCTAGACAAAGATTTCATTGCTATTGACCTCAAACATGAGCCCTTCCTCGTGCTCCGTGCGCTCGATCGACTCCAGTCGCGCCCACAACTCAGGGTACTTGGCCCGCGCCCATTTCTCCACCTCGTCCTTCCAATATTGATAAGGGATCGCGTTGTAAAGATGAGCAATCCTGTCAGGCCCGGTTAGCGAGAGGTCGATGTACAGGAGAGGAAGGAGGTGTGTGGGTGAAGTAAGTCACTTACGAGGTTTTTGTAGGCAGTTGCCCAATTTCACTGTGCATACTCTCCAAGGCTTTGGTGGCCAGGCCAAACTCACACTGCGCAGCCAAAGCCTCGACGTACGAGATGTATAAACGACGATCCATCTCAATACCGAGCAGCCTGATCTTCCCCATCATCTTCATGGCCTCCTGCACTCCGTTGTGGTGTTTGGCGCACATCTTGAAAAAGATGGCGACTGTCTTGTGCGTCGGGCCCTCGGCCGATTGGAGAATCTCGCGAAAGACCTTCATGCTCTTTTCCGGCATGTCACAGGCGGTGTAGGCGAGCATGAGGCGATTCAGAAGCTGCGTGTTCAAGTCGACCTCGACGTCCAGCTTGAGCATGTTGTGAACGAAGTCCAGATTATTTGCGTCTCGGGTTCGAGCAATGCCTTGGAAGCACTTGGCATACGTGTCCGGCTTTGGACGCCGCGAGAACTCCTCGGCTTGTCGCATATGCCCGAACACCAGGAATGCCAGATCACCCCGTTCTCGGTTGAAGAACGAGGTCATGATCTCGGTTCGCATGCCCACGCCCGTTTCCGGGAATGCAAGCCGTAGAAGCTCGTAGGCCTCCCAAGCATGGGCGCTATCTTGAGAATCGTCCTTGATGAAGTCGGTAAGCGCGTTACGGATTCTGGCTCGTTCTTCCGATTCATACAAGGCAAGACGCGGGCGGAGGAGCTCCGACACGCCGTCCCAGTCGTGACGGTAGAGCAGCATGCGCGTCAACGCTGCTAGCGTCTCCGACTCCAAGCGCACGTTGCCCTCGAAAAGCGGGTCAAGGAAGGCCGAGACCTGATCGAAGACAGCATCTTCCTGCCCTGACAAACAGAGCATTGTAACGAGTTTGTTCATCAGCGGTAGGTCCCCGAGAACGACGGAATTGAAATCGCGAAGATCCTGGAGGCACTGCAACGTTCCGTTGATATCGCGGGCTTCGATGCGCGATTCCAGCTGCAGGAGGCGCGTTTGGACATCAGGTTCTAGTCCCCAGTGAGCTGCAAGAGAACAAAAATCCGCGGCCAAATCAGGATTGCCAAGAGAATTGGCGTACTCCAACAGCAAGTTCACGCACGAGATATCGATCGATTCCTTTGTTTCGGGAGCCCGAGCCAGCAACGACCTAACCGTGTCTGCGATGCCCGCTGCGTCTTTGCCATGCGCAGCTTCCCAAAGCAACGTGATGCTCAAGGTTTCGGCGGGAGACGCCTGCGACAGGGACTGATAGATGGACTCCGCCCATGATTTCTCCGAGTGGAGAATCGCATGTCTGATGGCCGCTTTTTTCGCGGCGATGGTTGATTCCTGACGGTCAAACATAGGGCATTCAAAAATTGCCTTGACTGCTTCGAAGAGATCCTGTTTGACGAGGACCTCCACCAACCCCTCCTGAGAAGCGCTATCAAACCTGACGCCGAATTCGTCGAGCATCTCGACAGTCTGGCGGAGTTGCTGCCGGTCGTTGTTTGTAGCGAATCCTCTCATGACCGTGAGCCACGGGGAGGGACTGGTACTGTGCAGTCTGCTCCAGAAGCTCTCCACCACGTGGCGGGCTTCTTCGGGGTTGCCAGTCAACGCCTGGATATTCACGTAAGCGACGAGGGCGGGCCGGCTGATTTGATTGGGACCGAACCCTTCGTCGGCGCAAAGCTCCAGGTAAGCAAAACGGGCCACTTTTTGAACCACCTCACGCGACTCGGGCAGACACGTCGTCTCCGCCAGGACAAATAACATATTTTCCAGGCTCTCGGTTGAGAACACGGCCTGCCATTCTTCGGGATCCAGTTCATCCTTCTGAGCTTGTAGATGCTTCCACGTTATACTGAGCAGACGCGCCTGAAAGCCGGTGATGACCCCGGGGGATGCTACCCGCACGGCGAAAAAGTCCTGGAAAGCCTTGGTCAACAGGTCATTTGTAGGACCCCGACTTTTATCCTTCAATGCCCTCATCAAGTCTCTCATGGGCTTTAAGCCCGTCTCCGCCGGCAGAGACGCAGGCCGGGGATCGGCCGGCTCGGCCATATTGAAGGCGAAGAGGCCGCGCCGCTGGACATAATTGGGACTAGAAAGGACAAGTAGCCTTTGAGATCGAGGACGTCGGATGGTATGGATGAGTCGGTTTCGGCAATGCGTAGACGATAGCGGTTCGTTGTTCAGAATCGCCCGGAAAACCCGTCTGGTCAGGTGGGATTGCATGGCTGTGAAGCACGAGGGAGCCAGTGCGAGACTACAGCGGTGATAAATAGGCGCACGTCACGTTCGGAATTGAGGGGGAGGGAAAAGGAGGAAGAAGAAGGCGATCGATTATGGCATTCTTGTTGTGAGCGACGGAGCAAAGCAGAGCGACGGAGAAAGCAGCACTTTTTGGCTCGGCCGGTTTTCTTGGCGGCCCGTCGAACTCTTTTCCTTCCTCCGTTTCCCGCGCCGGCGTCTTCATCCTCTGCATTCAGCGGGTTGTCCCTCCACCCAGTCTTCGATTGATTCGGTCCATTTCACACGATGGCCTTGCAACTCCTTTCCTGGTCGCCTCTGCGCGTCTCGGGCTCGCTCTTGAGCCCCCTGTCCACTTGTCGGTGGAATTCCACTGCGACGCCCGCCAGTTCGTGTAGGTCAAAAGAATAGCTTCGCCCGCACGACCAGTTCAACGTCGGATGCTCACGCTGAATCCTGCCAATCCTAGTAACCCGAGCGCCCCCCCGTCGTCGGATGCCCGGTCGCCAAAGATTCATCGAAGAACAGAAGTCTCAGGCCGAAAGCCGGACGCTGGAAAAGTTCCAAACACGCGAATGGAAGGCCGGTGACATCTATGCGCCTCATGACCTGAGTTCGGCCGAGATGAGCAAGTGGAGGAGGCGCTCTAGCCCGTCGAGAGATGCCTTTGATGCCTTGAACTTGAACCCGTTGGAACTATACAAGGTACGTGTCGGCTGCCTAGCGATAGGCTCGGGGGTTCCGCGAGCTGGTCACTGACTACCTCTCCTACCTAGAACTTTGCGGTCATGTCGGAATGCATGACGCCCATGGGACGGATCAAGCACCGAAATACCACCGGACTGCGACCGGTGAACCAACGCAAGATTGCCAAAGCGATCCGACGAGCCATCGGACTTGGCTTGATGCCCAGTGTTCACCGACACCCCGAAATCCTGGCCGCAGAAGCCAGAATGAGGATGAATTAAGTCGGCGTTGCTTTGACCTTTGTATATTGTTTCGATATCTTTTATTTTTCACCCCTTCCCTGGGAATTGCACTCAAAATGACGGTGTTCACGGGGTAAAGCTATGTACGATTACTGCTCTTACAAGCCTGACGTTATCCTGGGAATGGGAAAGGCATCTTCCCAATTCTAGATCCTCTTCCCAGACATCCAAATGTACAAAAACCACATCACGTAGCTGTGCCCCTGTCGAACTGTTTCATTGTTGATAATAATCATAATTATAACTCGAGAGAGACCCACCAAAGACGTCAGCCGTCCCTCTCTCGCCCATCGACAAACACTCGCTCCCCCTCCCGTCTCGGCCTTCTCCTGCTGTTTCCCCCAATCCTCTTTCTTGTCGGAGTGTGTTTTTTTGTGTTTTTAATTCTGATATTGATAAGCAAGCATGTCGCTCACAAATGGTTTGCTCTACCCCCCTCCAAAGTTGGGAGTTGTCACTGACCATCCATTCCTTCCCAGAGTCCATCTGGGCCGCCAGCCCCTCCACCTCCAGGGGCCAGCCCACTCAGCTTTCTTCGGACGCCAAAGGCGAACGACTTGCCTATGCGGTATGCATCGTGAAAATTCTGATAGAAACTAGACTGGGTGTGACTGACAGGGCCGAGTGGCCAGGCGAACAAATCCATTTTCTTACGATCCATCGACGACCCCGCCGTCGCTAAGCAGTATACCGAACACAAGGCGCAGACGACCGTAGCCCGCTTCTCGCCTTCCGGGTTCTACGTTGCTAGCGGCGATGCTACGGGTTTGGTGCGAGTTTGGGACTGTATGGGCGACGGAATTACCAAGGGCGAATACAGTATCATCAACGGCCGCATCAATGACCTCACGTGGGACGGGGATTCTCAGCGTATCATCGCCGTGGGTGATGGGAAGCAGCGGTACGGCCACTGTATTACGTGGGACAGTGGCAACACGGTCGGCGAGATCTACGGCCACACGCAACAGATCAACTCTGTCTCCATCCGACAGCAACGACCTCTGCGAGCTGCCGCTGCCGGCGACGACAAGAACCTGGTTTTCTACCACGGCGCCCCATTCAAGTTCAACACCGGAATTCGAGACAAGCACACTAACTACATTTACGGAGTGGGTTTCAGCCCCGACGGCTCAACCCTGGTCAGCGTTGGCGCCGACCGGAAGATCTGGCTCTACGATGGCAAGACGGGCGAGGCTAAGGGACAGATCGGGGAGGGCGAACACAAAGGTAGCATCTTGGGGGTCTCGTGGTCCAAGGACTCGCGGAAGTTCGTGACGGCGAGTGCTGATAAGACCGTCAAAATCTGGGATGCCGAAGCGGGCAAGGTTTCTCAAAGCTGGAACATTGGGGGAGAGGGAAGCACGAATGTCAACGACCAGCAGGTCGGCGTTGTCTGGCCCCCCAACCGCAGCGACAACCTGCTCATCAGTTTATCACTGAGCGGTGATTTGAACTATCTCGTGGAGGGAACCCCGGAGCCCCGGCAGGTGGTTCAGGGCCACCAGAAGAACATCACGTCATTGACGTCCTTTACTTCCAGCAGCGACAGTAACGACAGTAACGAGACTCTGTGGACTGGAAGCTTTGATGGTAGGGTCTGCAGCTGGGATGTTCCGTCCGGAACTGCGGAGGAAGTGGACGGTGACAGTCACTCGAGCTACATCGCCGGCCTGGCACCAACTCGAGAGGGATCCGGAAGAATCTACAGCGTCGCGTGGGATGACACCATCCGGTCCGTCGATATCGGTGCCAAAACATACACCGGCAGCTCCTTCAAACTGGCCGGACAGCCCAAGGGCATCGCCGCCGGAGATGGAACGGTGTTGGTGGGGACGCCCGAGAGCGTGGAGATTTACAAAGATGGACAGAAAATTGGGGACTTCCAGCCTAGCTTCCCGGTCACCACGGTGGCTGCTCATGGTAACACAGCCGCTGTTGGTGGGGAGAACTCGTCCGTTCAGATCTGTGCCCTTTCCGGCTCGAGTCTCGCCCCCAAGGCTGACATCAAGGCCTCCCGGAACCCGGTCTCTGCCCTGGCCTTCTCTCCGGATGGTTCGTTGTTGGCGGTTGGCGATTCTCGGGGTCGTGTGCTCGTGTATAAGGTTGCTGATGGCAGCCTTGTCACCGATCGCTGGACAGCCCACACGGCCCGGATTACCTCGATCGCTTGGAACGAGGACGGTACCCACGTCGTGAGCGGTTCGTTGGATACCAACATCTTTGTGTGGAGCTTGGCCAACCCAGGAGACTGGCTGCAGGTCTCCAATGCACACAAGGAAGGAGTCAACGGTGTTGCGTGGATTGCAGGAGGATCCAAGATCGCCTCTGCCGGAGCTGACGCTTCTGTCAAGGTGTGGAAGGTGGAAGGACTTAAATAAAGAAAGGCAGCAGTGAATGTACATACAGACAGATCCAGACGGTGGTGACTCATTGGATAAACAAATTCGCCTTTGTTCAATTAAATTTTCAGTTTTCGAGCGTAGCTCTCAAGGCAGAGTAGAACGATAGAAGAGGAACAAAGAACTGCAGGCAGTGACAGCAGAGCGGCGGTGTGCATAAACTCACCGGGCCGTGGCAATTGGTCGCACAGAGCGGATGATCAGCTCTCTCCACCCCCGGCAACTTGCTTCTTTCTCATAAATTCCGTTCATTGTCCTCGACTATGGACCCTACCGCTTGCCTGAGAGGACGCTGAGAGAGCATGAGATGAACACCATGCCTCCGTCTGAAGAAACGACAAATAACTCGCGCCGATTTATGCGCCCAAAGAAGGTTGGTTACAGCTCTGTTTTGCTCCGGAAGGGACGTGAGACTGACTTGGACCCTCAAGCTACGGCAGGCAACATTTGTCTTACCGCGAACAGGCCAACGGCTAAAAGGCCTGGTCAATCTGCGCAATCCTTACTCAAGCTCGAACGGTAACCACAACGACGATGGCGGCGATGACGATGACGAACAGCTCGGGCTTCTGTCGGGAGAGATATCCGAAGATCGATCAGGTCTTCGCGCCCGTTTACAGGATAGAACATTGCAAATAGGGCGTCGGGCGAAGCAGGCGGCCTCTTCAGAGCTTGGAATAGGAGTCCTGAAATGCAGTCTCGCCTACCTACTGGGGTCCTTGGCCACGTTTGTGCCGGCCATTTCGTCTTTCCTGGGCCATCAAGATGGCAAGCATGTGGTGGCCACCGTCACGGTTTACTTCCACCCTGCTCGATCGCAGGGTAGTATGTACAAAGCCCTGATATGTGCTTTCCTGGCCTTCCTTTACACCGCCTTCATCTCCGTCACAAGCATGTGCGTGTCGATGTTTTTCCAGGATATGAATCTCCTCCCCGTGGGCCACGCGATAGTCCTGATCGTGTTCTGCGGGGGTGGCCTGGGGTTCATAGGATGGACTAAGCAGAAGCTGGCTGATCCTCTCGTGAACGTTGCCTGCTCTCTGGCGTCACTCTCCACGATTACAGTCCTGACTAAAGAGGGCGCAGTGCAGAGTGGAGACTTGTCCTTCGCGAAGATATCCCAGGTGCTGAAAATGGTCGTGATGGGTGTCACAGTCACTATGGCGGTGTCATTTGTCATATTTCCCATCTCCGCGCGCAAAAAGCTTCGCTCGAACCTCACCACCGTCACTGAGACGCTGGCCACCATGCTGGCTCTCATCACGGAGAGCTTCTTGAGTGGCTCTGAGGAGGAACTTCAGACGGAGGAATACGTCAGCACTGCCGCCCGGCATAAGGCAGCGTACGGCCAGCTCGATAAACTCGTAAGAGAGGCCAAGCTGGAACATTCCGTAGCCGGTACAGAAAAGGAATACCGACTGGAGAAAAATCTAGTTCGTTGGGTGCAAGACATCACACATAACATGGGAGGTCTCCGAAGTGCTGCTTTGCTTCAGTTCCAGCTTCTAAAGCAGACCAAACTTTCCGAATCCGTGCATTTGCATGGCCACGTACCGGGCATGAATGCTGGCGTGGCTCCACTGCTGAGTCCGTGGTCAGTACATGAGGATCGCCCTATTTTGGAACGAATCGACGAAAGACCGGAGGACGAGGGCTCGGTGTTCGACACAGATCAAGCCTCGCTCACTGCGGGCTCGGAGACCGACATCACTCTTCTTCCTGCTGATATATTTGCGCTTTTCATCGATCATCTTGGTCCCTCAATGGTAGCAAACCTCTATTAATTCCCCGACCCTTAGCATAAAGCTGTTGTCGCTAACATTCCCATAGCGCTCGCTTGCCTTCACTCTGAAAGAGATTTTCAGGGAAATCCCATTCAAACCGGCTCCGGATTATAAGGTCTCGGTCAATTGCACGTTCCGCACGAGTCTAGACCGAGCTCTTGAACTGTACCGAGCATCCCGAGTGGAGGCATTGAATACTATCTACCGACAGAAAGAGGTCTTGAAAATCCAAAGTCTGGAGGTTGAGGCCGACCTTGAAGAGGTCGCCGCCAGCTGCGGTCATTTTAGTTTCTCCCTTTTGGAGTTCGGCGAGCAGCTAAAGGACTTGCTCACCATCTTAGACGAGCTTCAACTTGAGGCCGAAGAGAGGCCGCACGGGAGGTCCTGGAGTTGGCTCAAGTTTTGGCGTCGAAACAAGGATGCACCAGCACGCCAGGGCGGTTCGGATACGGGTATGAGTCCCTCTAAAGTGTATCAATGAGAAGTTTTAAGGGATTGGATACTAACTATCTCCTTCAGAGCAGCCATCAACGGAGTCAAATACTACTCGAGTCGACAACATCCAGCAGTTGAGTGTAAATACCTCGTCGAAGTCTCGAAACCGACCGGCATCGAATCCCCATCCCTTGGCAGACCGGCCTGGACAGGGAAGACTTGCCTATCGCATCTGGAAATCACTCGGCTGGTTCCGACGCGACGAGGTTAAATTCGCGATCAAAGTTGGAACGGGAGCTGCCTTGTATGCTTTGCCCTCTTTCCTCCCGCCGGTAAGACCGGTCTACTCCCACTGGAGGGGGGAATGGGGTCTCTTGTCCTATATGCTTGTCTGTTCGATGACCATCGGGGCTTCCAATACTACCGGATACGCGAGATTCTTCGGAACCTGCTTGGGTGCGGTTTGTGCCATCCTAGCATGGCACGTGTCGACCGGCAACGTCTTCGCGCTTGCATTTTTTGGGCTTCTTATGGCAACATATACCGCGTATATCACCCTCTTCAAGGGTCAGGGGCCTATGGGGCGATTCATCATGCTCACGTACAATCTCTCCGTGCTGTACGCCTATTCGCTCACGCAAAAGGAGGGCCAGGATGACCAAGACGAGGGCGGAGACAACCCGGTTATGTCCGAGATCGCGCTTCATCGAGTCGTTGCGGTGCTGTCGGGCTGCATCTGGGGCATTATCATCACGCGGGTGATCTGGCCCATCAGCGCGCGTGGAAGACTGAAGGACGGCCTTAGCCTTCTGTGGCTCCGCATGAGCTTGATCTGGAAACGCGGCCCCTTGTCCACAATGGCCAACACCTTTGACTCGGCAGGCTTCGTGAATCCGCGGGAGAAGTTAGAAATCGAACGGTTCCTGTCACATCTAGAATCGCTCCAAGCGTCCGCCCGCTCGGAGTTCGAGCTAAAGAGTGCATTTCCCGATGCCGCATACAGCAACATCCTTCGGCGGACACGTAGCATGGTGGATGCGTTTTTCGCCATCAACCTTGAATTGGTCAAGAATATGACCGCCTCGGAAGGTGAGCTCGCGATTTTGGAGTACACTATGCAGGAGCGACTGCAACTGTCGTCACGCATTAGCCATCTCCTATCTGGTGAGTAGATGAAGCAGGCGATTCCTTTGTTTTGCTGCGATGTGTGGCGACTAAATCAGCAAACACTAGTGATGGCTTTCTCTATGAAGTTGGGATACCCGATGAGCGACGTCCTTCCGAGTATTGAACACGCTCGAGATCGGCTTTTGGCTCGCCTCTTCCGTTATCGCAAAGACCCCGAGGCATCTCGACTGTCCACCGACGAGGATTATGCCTTGCTCTATGCGTACAGTATGTGTGTCATCTACCGCGCGCGAGACAATGAGAGGTCCCTGCTAACATTTCCTGCGCTGCAGTTCTTGTTACCGGTCAGTTATCCGTCGAAATCGAGGAAATCATGGGGGAGGTCGGTCGACTGTTTGGGGTTCTGAATGAGGAGGCCGTGAGACTATACTAGACGCAGCGTATACAATCAGGGAAAATCGGATGGGCTTATGAGTTCTCATCTGTTTTAATCTATTGTCTTTTCTCCTGCTCCGTATAATGGTATATCGTGTAGAGACGTGGACCCGACCCCGATCGATGACTTAATTGATTCTCTGTCTCTCTGTCTCATCTTTTTTAAACTTGCAAGAGAAACGAACAAACGAAGGAGATAAAAATAAGATAAAAAAAATATCTTTCCTTTGAATTCTCTCTTTCTTTCGCTCTGTTATTGTCCTTGGTCCATTCTGGTGGGTGAACAAAAGGAAGGGGACGAAGGCCAGCAAAACGAGCCAAACCTCCACGATTTCCCCCTTCGACTTCATTTTTGTCCCCCCTCGGCCATCACTTCGCTCATCAACCCACCGCCCTTCCCATCATCATTCCATCAATTTTGTTCTCTGATACCATTTTCAGTGCCCTAGACCGATTATCCGATCAACCTGGAATGGTTATACCTTCATGAAGACCTAGATCTCCCTCTCTCTCTTCCCTCCCCTCCCCCCTCCTCTCCCCACACTCCCTCTTCTCCCCGGCTTCGCGCAGCCCCGTCGCGCTCTCCCTGCAAGCCTCGCAACCATGCAGATCGACCCGGCTGCCCTGAGTCGAACGGAACCTGCCTCAACCGCAATCTCATCATCATCAAAGAATGCCGCTCCCACCGCTTCAGCGACCCAGAAGTCGACCAAGGCGCTGATTTCCGTTCCGCGCTTGGACCTCGAACCCATCTACACGGAGCTGAAGGCTGCTATCGGTGACAATTGGGCTGAGTACAAAGAGGCCACCACGCTCTTTCTGCTAGGTATGTGGATGCTACGGCACATGGCTCTCTTATCTTTTCTTCTTTTCTCCTGCGCATGCTGACATCATGATTCTACGTCGCAGGGCAGCTGAACCAGAGCGAAGTCTCGGCGCGCGTCGACCATATTATATACGCGGATCAGAAAACCGAGCATCTCCACAACAATTTTATATGCGCGGTCATTGGAAACCTTACCAGAGACCTTCCGGATCATGGCATTGCAAGCTGGGTGTCGGCCAACGACAAACCGTCGGTGGTGTCGAAGCCGACCTCGGGGGACGCGGCGGAGCAGAGGCTCAAGACCGAAGTCATGCAATTGCCGCCCCGAGATCGTCGAAGGCTCAAAGCGATTCCAGAGGTAGGCTACAATAGACTCCGATGAGAGCGAGTTTCAGATATCCGTGACAGGGACTGACGGACTGGTTTCGAGCAGCGCGATCCCAATGAGCTTGGGCCCAACGAGTTGGAGGAGTACCACTTGGCGAAACAGATTAAATTGCCCAGCCAGGTACCAGCGAGCGCTGGTGGCTTAAACAAGACGAGTAGGTTCTTCATAATCGCGATCAGAGACTCGAAACTAACCAATCCGGTCGGTCATAGATTGGGAACTGGAAATTCGAAAACGTTATGCGCAACCCCTGGCATCGGAAACGGGCGAGTTCCCAGATGCCGAGTCTATACATGCCCGTATGATCCCGATCTGTTACGAGGAGTCGATCGTCAGCGGTGCAGGATTTCCCTGTGCCGAGTTCATGGCAATCGCCACCGAAACGTTCGTGAAAGAAATCCTTTCCGTGGTCTTCTCACGCACCCGATCCAATGGGCCCTCCGGCACTATTAACGGCATGATGATGCGGAAATACCGGCAGCAGCTTGAACGTGAAGAGCTGGCATTTACACGAGGCGAGATCGTCAAAGACGCTGCTACTGGGTTGCTCCCCGTCGAGGCAAAGGAGGCGAGCATCCGAAAGCCTTTAGGGGTTCGGGATCTCCGGCTGGCTTTAGAACTTGGAGGTGGGGTCCTCAGCCATATGCCTTTGATTATCGATCAGATCATGGGCGGGTACCTCGAGGACGAGCTCGAAACCGACAAACAAGACCGAGACGACGAGGCGGCTGAGGCAGCCCATGACGACGCAAGGCCAAATAACTATACCGATGACATGGACCTGGACGACGTGGAATCCGACTGGGAAGGGGGAACAGTGGCAGATCACTACCAACTAGGCGCTCTGCTCGACGACTGTCTCTCTATTGCCGCCTGATGCCTGTTTTCCCTCTTCCACTACACTACCGCCCCCTCTTTTCTCTCTTTCTCTTTCTCTTGTTCTTGTCACTTTTTTTTTTCGTCGCAAACATTGATTCTCAGGTCAAGGGTGACCTATGTTCTCGATTTGGCGAGGTTCAAAGGCGTCCTAGGGAGTATAATACAACGGAAGGGCTGTCATTTGGTATGATTGGTTTTGCATATGGCTTGGAGTTGTCTCTCTTTTCTTTTTTTTTCCCTTTCTTTCTGTTTCCTGCTCTTCACCTCCTTTGTTCATATTCTTCACTTATCCCCCCAAGTCTCTTGCCATGAAATGCCCGGCGCATAAACACGAGCATTTAACAGCACCGCTGCTCGAATCTTTTCAGATGACATCTTCACCGAGCGGTTCAATCAGGGAATGTGCTTGTTCACTAAAAGACCCCCTCCAGTGAGGGAAATCAACAATGTTTGAATCGAAGGATCCCCCTTTTATTTCCCTCTTCGTCTGTCTGTCTGTCTGTCTGTCTGTCTGTCTGGTGTGTATGTATATTATGTTTGCCTTTCCTACTTTACTTATAGAAGAATGGCAGCTCTACAAAACGAATGCTCTATATCGTAAAGAATCTCTTTATTTTAGCTTCTCCAACCACAACGCCAGGTATAACAGCCGTAAAAATAGATTACATTGTATAACCTCCTGGAAGACGCTAATTTCAGGCATCATGTCATTAGGAAAGAGAGTTTGCGGCCATCTTCAGGATTTCCTCGGTGGATTTTTGGGCATTGGCCGGGTCCTTGGCTATCGATTGCCAGATCTCGCCGTGCTTGGGCTCGGTCGCGATGCACTTGGATATCACGTCGGCTCGTTTCTCCTGTAGTAGAAAAGAAGAGTCCATGTTAGTCATGGGATTTGTAGCCAGAGAGGGGGAGAAAAAGAGGGAGAAGTATACCTCAGTACCATGTTGCAACAGGAACTTGTAGTACCAAGCCCAGCCGTCTCCCAAATCGCTGTCACAGACAATAGCTTTCTCAAACCATGTCATCGCTTTCTCTAAGCGACGCTCACCCCAGAAGATCCGGGCCACCGTAATGAATAGAATAGGGTCGTTTTCAACCTTCTTGATTGCCTCCAAACTCCGCGCCTTGCGCTGCGCCCTTGGCTCAAGGTACCAAATACTCTCGCTCCATAATAACCCGGATGTTGGCACTTCCTGCAGAGCTTTTGCCATGAGGACCTTCGCTTGGGCAATATTGTTCGCTCTCCGCTCAACACGAACACTTTCCGTCCACAACTCTCCACTCTTGGGAACGGCGAGTCGAGCCCGATCGAGGACCGAGCGGGCTTTAACGACAGCCCCGGCATTTTCTTCCAACCTGGAAGCCAGCAACCAAAGGGGAACCGACTTCGGGCAAGCCCTAAAGCCGGTGCTATAGGCTTCTCGAGCTTGCGGGTATTTCTTCTGCAACTCATAGATTTGGCCCTTCATCATCCACAGCTTGTCGGCCTTGGGATAGAGCTGGAGACCTTGGTTCACCAGATCGAGCGCCTCATCTATGTTGCCTAGCTGCCGTTCGAAGGCAACACTTTTGATCCAGACACGGTCTGTGCCTGCTTCACGACGAGCAGTTGTAAGGAGTTCTCGGGCTTGGTCGGTCTGCTGAGCATCTGCCTCAAGCTTGACGGCAGCCAGCCAGATGTCCTCATTGTTCGGGTTTTGGTTGAAGGCGCGACCGAGCACACGTCTAGCCTCATCAATCTCGCTAGTCTGCCATTTCTCCTTGGCGAGCTGCAACCATAGCTCTTCACTCTGTGGGCAAGCTTCGACGGCTTTCTCAAGAACCTGCCACAGCGCTTCTTTGCTACCATGGTTGCGCTCAAGGTCTGCTGCTGCAAGCCAAATCGACCGACGGTTGACAAATACCCGCAACGCATATGCATAGATGGCCCTCGCGGTCTCATATTTGCCCCTGGCAATACTAGCTTTTGCGTCATCCATCCAAATATCCTTCCTGTCATCATCCTCGTCTAGACCCCATCCCAGAGTCTCCCGTACTATCGCACCGCACGTGAGGACTGCCCCTTCTTCCTCACACTTCTCCGCTTCAGCGATCCATTCTTCTCTCTTCAACATGGCGTTTTCCTTGGCGAGTGATTGTATGGCTCTCTTCATAACATTCACCTTCTCGAAGGTCCCCATTTGCTCTTGTAACCGGGCCGCAGCAATCCAGATTTCGTGGCTGGTAGGGACGGCTTTTCGGGCAGCGTTCAAAACTTTTTGGGCGTTCTCGGGGGTCTCAAGTCGAGCAAGAGCAAGCCACAGCTCCACGGACAGCGGTATCATTTCAACAGCTTTGACCAGCAGGAGTCGTGCATCTGCGGGATCATCCTCCAAGTTCACAGCTTCCTTCCAGATAGCTACGGACTGTGGGTTGTGAAGAATGGCCTGCCGCATCACATTCTTTTTAGCACGAGGCTCGGATTCCAACCGCATAGCTTCGATCCAGAGCCTCGTGGAGCGGTCATTGTTCTTGATGGCGTTTGCGGCTATGACCCTGGCATTATGGCCCTCATTAAGCCGAATGTTTTCAAGCCAGGCATCCTCGCTTTTCGGACACAGCTCGCAGCCTTTGGCAATGCTGTTTCTGGCCGTCCCAAGCCGACCGGCACGTTCTTCCAGTCGCGCAAGCGCGATCCACCCCGGTGCATGTTTCGGGTTCGTTCTCGTCACGGATTCCAACAAAACACGGACTCGCTTTATGTCTCCAACTTCGACCTCGCCAGCTTGTAGTTCCGACTTCGTGAGACTGGTAAGGTATCCTTTGGGGTCGATATTGGTCGCACTTCCCGAGGCTGTATCCCCAGACGACCCCATGGCGGCCTGGTCAAGCTTCACTTGTAACACTTTATCACGAGCCGCACTGATGTTGGCAAAATCCGTGATAGCTCCGTCAGCCCCCTGGGATCCCCCGGCGTCGGCAGCGGCGCCGTCATCCGCAACTGTAGCCTCGAACTGAGTGGAATCCCTTGCGCCAGCGATGACACTATCAGGAACAGCGTAGAATCGTTGGCGGAGGTTCTGTTTTGTCCGTCTATTTTTCCCCGTGAGATCGCCGACCTCGGGGAGACTGGCCCATTGATCCTCGGAGACAGCCGCAAGTGACCGTTTCAAATCTGCGAACTGCTGTTGAATTTTGGGGTTTTTACGTTCGTAATCTTCTTGCTCTTGGCGTTCGCGAGCTTCCCTAGAGACGGCGAAGGAATCAGGTCGGCATTCTGTCCAATAAACCGGGAGTGAACCCGATGAACCAGTTGTTTTAAATGAAAGAAGGAGAGCCGGGGGGGCACGAACCTTCTAATTTTCCGGCGCTTGTCCATCTTCTCGTCTACCTCCCTGTAGATGCGATCTGCCTCGTCATCTTCTTGGTCGAACTGTCCGTATGCAAAGAGTCCAACTTCATTGTCCGGGTCCTGAAAGCGCTCGTCCTCTTCCTCTTCCTCTTTTTCCTCCTTCCCACCCTTCTCACGTCCAGCGCCATATGCTGTTGGAGGAGCCGCTCCAAGTTGTTGCGCTCTCTTAGCAAGTGCGGCCTGGATTTGCTCGGGAGTAGGGCCTTCGCGTGCTGGTCCAAGATCTGAGCGGGTGGTGAAGCCCGTCGCACCTCGACCCAGCCCGGCCACGTAGTTCTCCGGCGCAGGCTGGCTAAGGAAGTCCTTCCGACCGGAGGCCATTTTGACCCAAGGCAGGAGGGATGCGTAAGAAAAGCTCGACGAGAAATGATAGTCGGGGTTTGGGAAGCGGAAGAGTCATAGAAGAGGCCGCGCCGCAAGCCGATACAAAGCAAGGAGCGGGAAGATGTTGTTCCGGTCCGCTAATCTTATCGGCTTTTTTTCCTCCCCTCCGCGTCGCTTTCTCTGCTACCCTCAGATCAACGACGCCATCATGCCAAAAGTGAAGCAAAAGAAGCGCAATGGAGCCCCTAATGGCAGTCCTTACTCCGACGCTGCCGTCAAGGCAAAAGCTGCCAACAGCGTCTTCAAAATGAACACAGACATCGGACAGCACATCTTGAAGAATTCCGGAATCGCTGACAAGATCGTGGAGAAGGCGGACTTGAAGCAGAGCGATGTATGCCATCTCCGCCCCTCACTTACGACAGCGACTATGATCATGATGAGGATCGCAACCGCCGCCCTGGTTTGCCTGTCTAATCGCGCTGACTCCCTATCGCACGCAGGTCGTTCTCGAAATTGGTCCCGGAACCGGAAACCTTACGGTCAAGATGCTTGAGAAGGCAAAGAAAGTCATCGCGGTGGAATTGGACCCCCGAATGGCTGCCGAAGTCACCAAACGAGTTCAGGGAACTCCGGTGCAAAAGCGATTGGAGGTCATCCTCGGCGATGTGATCAAGACCGATCTTCCATATTTTGATGTTTGCGTCAGCAATACTCCCTATCAGGTATGTGCGCTCTATCTAAACAGGCCTGCCTGTCAACCCGCCAATGCCTAATTGTTCCGTCCAGATCTCATCTCCCCTCACGTTCAAACTCCTCGCTACCTCGCCTGCGCCCAGAGTTTGCATTCTCATGTTTCAGAGAGAATTCGCCCTACGACTCTTTGCCAAACCCGGTGACAAACTCTACAGTCGTCTTTCCGTCAATGCCCAAATGTGGGCCAAGATCGATCACATCATGAAAGTGGGCAAAAACAATTTCAAGCCTCCGCCGCTCGTCGAATCCAGCGTCGTCCGCCTCGTTCCGAAAAACCCAAGACCGCAAATCAATTATGACGAGTGGGACGGCCTGTTGCGAATTTGTTTTGTGAGGAAAAACAAAACCATTCGGTCGAGTTTTCTCGGCAAATCTACCATCATGGACATGCTTGAGGTCAACTATCGGACTTGGTGTGCACAGAACGACATTCCAATCGAAGACGGTCCAGTGGAAGACACGAATATGGACGCAATGAACACTAGAACTCATCAAGACGAAGAAGAAGAGCTTGACGAAGCGATGGAGGTAGACGATGAGGATGATGTACCCGACTTTTTCAAGGAGCAGAACTCTCGCGTGCAGGAGGCCCTGAAGAATCGGCCAGCTCGTAAAAAGCGAGGGAAGGTTGCGGAGTTGGTACGAGAGAAGGTACGGCAGGTTTTGGAGGACGAGACAAAGCTCGGAGAGAAGCGTGCAAGGATGTGCGATGAGAATGATTTTCTGAAGTTGCTGTGGGCATTTAACCAAAAGGGCTTTCACTTCAGCTGAAATTTGCCGAGGTGGGATGGCGCTGAAGGAAGCTAGGAATGATTGATCACCTTCTCTTCCTCTCTCTTCCCCCCGCCCCCTTCCTTCTTGGCCCTCCGTCGTCTTCATCTTTTGTTTCCCCTTTTTATATCTCCTCGTTGGTGCTGCGAAGGTGCGCAAAATATACATAGAGTTAAATCATTAATGAGTTATGATTATTATCATTGCAAACCGTTTTCGGGGGATCGGTCACCAGCGGGACGTAGATGAGCCCGAGAGTCTTGGAATAGACTTTGCCAGATGAATGCCTCGCTTAGAAGAAGCTCTATGTCTTTCTCTGTCCAATCTCTTGTTGGAAGAGCCTGTAAAAACATCATAACCTCCTGCTACCGTTAGCAATCTGCTATTGCATGTCCAGGTAATCCACCCTTGCCGCGAGCACCTACTTGGAAATCCATTTTCACCAACTGATCCGACCATTTGACAAGAAAGGCTGCGCAAACGTATAAATGGAATCGCGAGAATCCTTGCTCCTCAGCCTTGGGCGCAAATTTTAGTACAGATCTGTTCTGCAAGGATGATAAAAACTTACCATATACGTGTCCCACATCCGTATGGTGTTCTGGACACTCATTTCTCGCATGAGCAAGCAATTCATCCACCGGAAACTAAACTGCATGAACTCGACCCCTTCGTTTTCCAGATGCTTGGCTAGAGCTGAATCAATCCGCATTGTCAAGTCACGCAGCGCTCTGACCTGCCTGTGAATTCCTGGCTGCGCATATATATAGTTGTCTTGAATACCCTCAAGGAGTTTTGTTATACACCAGAAAGAGTCGGCCTCCACGGCATCCAGTACACTTCTCGGTAACTGGCCTGGATCCATGCCCTCTTCGACGTTCAGGTCTGTGACATACATGCCCAGAAAGACCTGCCAGAAGGGTGTGACTAGGTCATTTATTCCTTGGACATAGCCGCTGGCGGGATGGCGAATCGCCCAGAGATAAAGAATCCTTTCAAGGGAGCGCTGGGTGGCTTCGTAACTGTAAAGCTGGATGTGAGGACTGGTGCGGGGAACGTCTATGCTGATTTGATGCCAGATCGCTTCGTCCAGTCCTCTACCACGCCCCGTGGTCGGGGCGGGAGGGGTTCCAGAGCCCGTAGCGCTGCTGCGTTCAAATGCTTGTCGCACCCCATCCAAATATTCCTTGCGCTTTCTTTCAAGGGTTGAAATCCGCCGTTCGCTGTTCGTAGGAAGGTATCCAAGCAGCAGCTGCCAGGTCATGGCTCGCACTTCGTCGGGAACGCCAGACCATGCCAAGTTCCTCAATTCAGAGAGAGGAACAGTACTTGTTTGCAAGAGACGTTTGAATTTGTTGATTCTCGATATACGACTCGTATACGCCTCCATCTCTTTCGGGGTTGCGTTCTTAGGGGGCGGCGCATGGTTGATCAGATTCAAGGAGTTCGCGGGATCTTGAAAAGAGTCATTAAAGTCAGCATTGCAACCGATCGCGAACAAAAAGTCACCTAGCCATATGGTTTTTACCTCTTAGGATGTCTTTGTACTGAGGACGCAGTATCTTCCCTTCGCCCTTCCGGGCTGTGGGATACATGGAAGCACCTCGCTCCTCCGCGATGTCTGCACTGTTTGCGCGCTGGCGGTTGTTCGCTGAGCCAACCCCAAGCGTCGCCGTAGCATTGTTCCGAGCTCCGCCGCCTGGATCGACCGTTTTGAGAGGATACGGGCCAATATTTCGGGTTTGCTGTTTTCGCATACTAGAAAGACTCGGCAGTCCGAACTCATCTTCATCGTCGTCGAATACAATGTCTTCCTCTTCGTCGTCATCTTCTTCCGCCGTCGTGGGATCCTGACCCCATGGGTCGATTCCTTGGTTCATGATACCGGAATAGGATGTACGAGGCGGCGTGGCCCGGGGTCCTGAGCGATGAGGGGAGGGTGAAACGTGCTGCGAACCGATGGACGATGGCTGAGGCGGTGTTCGGGGGCGTGTATTATGCTGCTGGGGGGCACCTCTGCGGAAACCGAGCCGGGATATCAATTAGTCTCGTACTCATTTGAAAAAACGGCTGCATGGAACATTTGAGGCGAGCGGATCTAACTTGAGTATATTCGCGTGGGAATATGAAGCGCCAACGACAGTGCTTTGGTCATGGGTCTTGGAAGAAAGCGGTCTTCCCTTCCAGAACGGCGATCCTGCTCGCCTTCGAGGTGGATTAGCCCATAAACATATATGCGGCAAAGCAGAATCCAGGTGAGGATGAAGGGAGGGGGGTCGATATCAACATGAGGGTTGAGCATACTCCGAATGGTCTGCCCATGGAAAGTGGGGAGCTATATCAGCCACCGTAACTACTGGATAGGAACGCACGAGGGTCGGAGAGCCACGAACCAACCTGAACCATTTCCTTATGAGAATTGCGATAACAGGTCAGCATCTTGTCCTCGTAAAAAATAAAATAAAAATTGTCATATGTAACAAGGTCCATGGCTAACCTGCTGCTGGCCTCTTCTAGTGTCCATTCTTGTGCGGAGGAAATGGTATCAAAAGAACGGGGACATCGGGCGATATCCAGAGACACGGAGTGCTAGAGTGCGGGGGAAAGGAGGAGGGAAGAGGCGAGGCAGAAAAGGGAAAGATGGGGTGTGCTCTACGCGCACACGGCACACGGCACTCAAAGTCGAGAGACGAAGCGAACGGATGATATGGAAATGAAGGGAATTAATGGGATGAACCATTAGATGGAAGAGCATCAGAAGACCAGCTTATGCATGCGACTGCCCTACCTGCCTGCACCTACGTATGTGTCTACTAAGGTAGGCACTGTACCCGACAGTACAGGTCTATCATACCCAGGTATGACAGTACAGTACATACACTGTGCACAATTAGGTAGGTACTCCGTACCTTGTCGTGACTAGTGACCGCCGGGTAAGGTACCGTACAATACCGTACAATACAGCCCGGGACGCGGAAGAACTCCCCCATCGACATCACTTCTTCCCTTTCTCCTCTTCCGCTCCTCTCCCTCTTTCTTCTTCCCTCAATTAATACCGACAACCTTCGTCTTTCCTTCCCTTTGTCGAAGTCGGTGGGTCATCAGCCTCGACAACTTCTGTTTACTGGGAATCGCAAGCGACTCTCATTCATTCCCTTCCCCTCCGACCTTTTTCTTGAATCATTTTTTTCTTTTCGTAGTTCAAAATGGCTGAACCAGAGGATGTTGAGGAAGATCTGTTCGCCGATCTGTAAGGGTTCCCTCCACTTCCCTTCAGCTGGCTCTGATAGTTTTCTGACCTTGTCGCACCTTAGGTACGATGCGGACGACGCTGGAAACCACACCGCGGCGGCGGTTGAGACCTCTCAAATCTCTCATCCTAACTTTTCAGATATTCCCGCCCAGTCTTCAGAATCTGCTGCTCCGCAGCCTATCGAACAATATCAGGACCATTCCGATGTCTCGCGTGACTTTTACCAGAATCCACAAACCCACGGTGGTTACCAGAATGGCGCTGGAAGTCAGGACCATGGTTTTGCCAGTACTCCTGCTGTTACTTCCACCTCGTTGGACGCAGAGCCCCAAGGAACCGGCATCAAAGAAGATGGGTAAGCTTGAATTTCTCTACTGCAGATATGCGAGGTGTACTCGCATCCCCTTTACCCTTTCCAACCGTAATTGAACACTCAATCTTCGAATTGCGATTCGATTCGCGACGTCTACCAATTCTCCCGTGTGTCGCCGGATAAAGGGGTTGAAAACCACGCCGCTTTAATGGGAGGGACCCTGGCACGTGAATGGTCTTGATTGACGATGGCAACCGTGTTGGCAAAAGCTTGTTGGAGGCAATGCTTGCAACCCGGATTCCTATGAGGAATGCTGTGAAAGATGATGGCATGGTTCAATGGAGATCTTGGTGTCGCTTTGGGTCTAGGATGAGTCCAATCTCTTCTGCCAGGAATAATGAGATCCCAGTCACCTCAGAAATGGACCTCCTGGGTTTTGATCAAAACCAGCTAAAGTGAACGATTCGATTGGAGATATCCCATCTTCAGAGTCAAGTCCAAATGTCCAGCGTGAAACATACGAGCCGGTGTCGATGTGACTGTCGCAAAAGATACAAAAACATCGGATTTTTTATTCTACGACCCATATCCGCGAGCCACTATAGTACAGCCGATACTATATAGCTTCTTGTCGATATATCTTGATAGAGCAGTGCAGAACAAGGAGTAGAAACCTTGTCTGTGTGGCATTGTCGAAAAGTTTACCTAGTTTCGGACACCATTAGACAGACAGGCAAAGGCTTCTTTGATCAGACAAGAGACAGAAAGGGAGAACAGAAAGAAGAACGAGAAGAGAGAGAAAAAAAACACTATTTCTTTTTTTTCACTTATTGCGCCTGGCACACTCCTACCCGTGCGTGGTCTGCTGTCACCATCATATCTCTTCCGGTCCCAGAGAAAACTTTCCGTTGGCCTTCAGTCCACTGGATCGTCTCGTAAACCAGTGGATAGTTGACTAGAACCCTGACTGGATCGGCATATCATCGAGCCCGTCGCAGTCCTTGTCGATGTATGTGGCGCGGGTCGGCAACACTCGAAATGACGGCCCCTATCATCCGATATCATCCACCCTGAGTTCAGCAATAGCTATCTGTCTTTCTCGTGATACTCAAGTGTATTTCCTGCGACACTTTACCTTTCCAAGGGGAATAGCGATGGCGTGACATGGACCAGATCTATAAAAGAGCAAGGATAGCACCTTGAACGAACGTGTTCGCCCACAATTACCGTGTTCAATCAAAATTTGCCAGCAATCAGTCAAGACCGAACATGCCCTTTTTCGTTGTGGTCCCAATTATCCCGAGGAGAGACGTGGAGAAGAGGGAGAGGAAGAGAAGATCACGATTTGAGGGCGTTATCTCATGCTTAATGAAACAGTATACTAATAACATTCTGTCAATAGGAAGATGTTCATCGGTGGTTTAAATTGGGAGA